GTATATATGTGTGTGTGTGTGTATGTGTGTATGTGTGTGTGTATGTGTGTATGTGTGTGTGTATGTGTGTGTGTGTGTGTTGTGTGTGTGTGTGTGTGGGGTGCAGTAATTGAACTGTTACTAAACCTTTTCTTTTTTGAAATCTAATATAATACTTATTTTTACTATTTACCATCAACTACATTACCACCATTCATCATTTCTTTGCTGTCGTCATGACAATTACCATCATCATTATCATCATCGTCGATATCATCATCATTACCACCATCCTCATCATCCTCATCATCCTCATCTTCATCATCATCCTCATCATCACCACCATCATCATCATCACCATCATCACCATCATCATCATCATCCTTACCATCTTCATCATCATCATCATTGAACACTAATTTAATGATGTACCTTATAACACTTACGATTTTTTGCGAAAATTACTAAGAATGAAATACAAATTTTTTTTCAATAATAAATTCTTTCTTTCACTTTCTTTCTCTCCCTTTTCTCTCTCTCTCTCCTTTCTTTTCTTTTTATTCTCTCTTTCTCAATTGTGGTTGTTTATACGCACATGAGTTTAACACTATAGCGGGCTAGTACATTACTGCCACTACTATTGCTTCAACTGCTGCTGCTGCTACTATTACTACTACTATTACTACTTTATTTTTTATACAACATAGCAGCATCTTTATCATCCGAGTAACCTATTTATCAGACTAAATACTTAATGCATTCATTTCTCCTTTCCTCTCTCTCTCTCTCTCTCTCTTTTACTTTCTTTATTTTTCTTTATCTTTTTTCTTTCTTTCTCTCTCTCTCTCTCTCTCTCCCTCTCTCCTCTCTTTCTCTACATACATATTTTTTACAGTTTGTTCAAATGTTTAAATGTTTTTATATTTGTTCATAAACACATGAGTGTGTGTGTGTGTATCTGAGCGTAAATAAGTGTGCGTGTGCGCGTGCGTGTGCGTGCGTGTGAAAAATGAAAGAAAGCTAAAAAAGAAAGAAAGAGTCTTAAGATTTATATGGTTGGTATTTATATATAGATCCAAACATACATATTTACACAAATACTTAAATAGATGGTGTATATGTGAGTATGCATGTGTATGTATGTGTGTATGTATGCAGGTATGTATGCAGGTATGTATGTAGGTATGTATGTTATATTTGTATGTAGGTGTGCAGCATGTATTTGTATGAATTGGTGCAAACATTTTCAGGCTTTTTCTAAAGAAATCTTCAATAAACAGACATCAAGGAATAGCATGTTGTAATAGTTTTGTTTGTTTGTATGTATATAAGTTTGTATGTGTGTATGTTTGTCTGTATGTGTGTACGTATGTGTATATATGTGTGTATGTATGTACGTGTGTTTGTATGTGTGTATGTATGTTTGCGTGTGTGTTTGTTTTGATGTATGCCAAATGGTATCTCTGTTGTTTTAGTTACAATGCTAGCAATGTTTATTCCACCTATTTGTTGGATGGAAATCAGTTTCCGAGGATAAAAAAGATGAGTGCATAGATAGATGGATAGGTGAATGAATGAATGAATGATTGAATGAAGGAATGAATGAATGAGTGAATGAACGAACGAACGAACGAACGAACTAACTAACTAACGAACGAATGAATGATGAGTGAATGATTGACAAAATGAACTCTTGAGATGTTCGTAAAAGTTTAACACCTTGTTTAATATCAATCATGATTAGCAATCTGTTTGAAGATTGATTGATAGTGGAGTTATCAGAAGAATTAATTACATTGTGAATGGATGAATGAATGACTAAAAGAATGAATGAACGAATGAGTAAATGAATGAATGAATGAATAAATAAAATGAGTGATTGATTGGAAAAATGATAAGGAGAATAAGATGATGTATCGCTAGCTGAATAGATAATCTAAAGAATGGATGGATAATTGACAGATGGATGAATGGACAGTATAACGAATGAATGAATGAATAAATGAATAAATGAACGTACGAACAGACGAACGAACGAATGAATGAATGAATAAATGAACGTACGAACAGACGAACGAACGAATGAATGAATGAATAAATGAATGAAAAACGCTTTCAAACAAACAAAAAAAAAATGGAAATGGGAAAAAAATTAATTTCCACGCATAAATTGCGCGATGATAATTGAGCCGTCGTAAAAACGATTGGCTGCTAATGCATCTCTCCCTTCTTTCAAGTACACATTCAAGCCAGTACTGCAAGTACAACTGCGCGTATTTAATAGATGTACACAGATACAGACGTACAAATACAAAAGTACACGGATGCTTAAAATACGTAAGTACGCTACTAAAGTAACAGAAGAAAAAGTTCTTTAAAAGTACATAAGCACTTACATAGATAGTACAAAGCAAAAGTACGCAGTGCAGTTGTACCTAAACCAACACGTACTTGAGTATTCAGTAAAAGTACTAGATCTAATATGTACCTAGGCTTACCAAGGCTAAACATTTATTTTATTTTTGTATTATTTTGTATTATGTATATGTACAGTACACGCACACACACACATATATGTGTGTATATATGTGTGTGTTTATGTGCATGTAAAGTTTTTGATTGAGTTACTGCGATAATTATTATTGTTGTTATTATTATTTTTATTATTCCTATACAATGGTTGATCGATTGATTGATCGATTGCTTGATTGATTGATTGAACAAGCGTGCTGTTAACCGTTCGTTTTATTATTTTTTTTATTATTATTAAAATTATTATGATTATTAATATTATTGTTGTTATTATTGTTGTTGTTGATGTTATTATTATTACTTACAGGCAATAACGTGGATGGTGAGAGTACCTTGAAAATCGCATACATCAAGCCGGGAACTCCAGCTTTCAGGTTAATAATAATAATAATAATAACAGCAACAACAACGGTTATATATTAATAATAATAACAATAAAAATTATTAATATTATTATGATAATAATAATTTTAGTAATTATAATAGTGATGACGACGGTGATGATGATGATATCGACGGTGATGATGATGATGATGATAACGACGAAGAAGATGATGATAATGATGAAGATGAAAGTTATTATTGTTATAAATAACAACAACAAAGCAACAGCAACAATAAATGAAGCCTATTAGACATACAATTACGAACCGCATGTGTTTTTTTTCTCATTTATTTACATTTAAAGGAAGCAAAAATGTGAAAAGATACTACATACAAATATGAATTTCTGTTTACATGTGCGTTCGTTTGTTTGTTTGTATGTATGTGTGTATGCAATTATGTATGTATGTATGTATGTATGTATGTTTGCATGTATGCTCGTTTGTTTGTTTGTATGTATGTATGTTTGTATGTATGTATGTATGTATGTATGTATGCTTGTTTGTTTGTATGTATATATGTATGCCTATGCATATATGTATGTGTGTATGTACATGTGTATGTGCGTATAACAGACTGCGTAAAAACATAGATGAGAATTCTGGAATAGATAAAAAAATGAAAGGAATTTTTAAACAAGAAGAATGAAGATGATGATGATGACGACGACGATGATGATGGTATTGATGATGATCATTGATAAGCCGATAGTTACGATGATCATTGTTACAATAATGATGTCGATAATTTTGATAATGATGATAACTACCATGATAATGATAATAGTAGTAGTAGTAGCAACAGCAGCAAAAGTAGTAATGGTAGCAGTAGACACAACAGCAGCAGTAGTTGTAGTAGTAATAATATTAGTAATATTAATGTTATAATTTTTATGTTTAAGTTGCAAAAATACAATGATAAATAAACATGTATACATTTTTTGCCCCAGACACGACGGGCTTGAGATTGGTGACGTCATAACAGGGGTTCAGGGCATACCCTCCTGCAATCTCAACAAGCAGCAACTACACAACATGCTACAAGGCAAAACGACAACAACATCGTCTTTAGCGTCATCATCAAAACAACAACAACAGCAGCTGATACTGGATTTGAATTATACCATGACTGATAATAGTATGTTTGTTTGTATGTGTGTATGTATGTATGTATGTGTGTGTATATGTAAGCATGTAGGTGTGTGTTTGTGTATGTATGTATGTATGCATGAAATACAGATATATGTGCGTAATAGATATCTCCTCTTGATGATTTGTTTGCTGTACAATATGTTGTTTTGTTCTCCACCTCAAATCACATCACGTCACGTAATTACTATTATTATTATATTATTTTTATTATAATGATATTATTATAATTTTATTATTATTATTACTAACAAATTATTCATTTTTGATAACGTCCTAACTTTGTATATCTTAAACTTTAATGATATTTTACGCAATTAAAGCTGTAACTGATGTTATTTTTATTATTATTGTTACTATTGTTATTGTTCATTATTATTATTATTGTTGTTGTTGTTATTGTTGTTCTTTTTGTAATTGTTGTTATTGTATTTGTTGTTTTTGGCGTTGTTTACATTTCAAATGTTTGTTTGGCGGATGTGAAAGTACGTTGTTGATCAAAGTGATTCATTTTTCCATACCGTCGAGTTTTTATTCTTTCATCTCTTGTTCATTCATCCAACTAGCTATCTATCTATCCATTCAGTCATTCTTTCACTCATTCTTCCATTTGTTTGTTCATTTATTGTTATATAACAGCATTTCGTTACGTTCACATCAACGTGTTAACATATTCATTCATTCCTTTATTGAATAATTTGTCTTCGAACCTTCAGAAAACAAATTAATCATAAAAATTGTACATGTCTGTTCGTCAAATCTTTAATCAATCATTCAGTCTTTTTGAAACAAAATCCGTTTCTTTGATCGATTGATTGATTGATTCTTTAATTTATTCATTCATTCATTTATTCATTCATTTATTCGTTCGTTCGTTCAGTCATGCATTCATTTATTTAATTGTCCGTCCATCAGTTCATCAATTCATCCCTCCACTCAGGCGTCCAATCTTTTTCAGTGACCCGGAAAAGGATCGAGGTCAAGTTACGTAGAGATGACCTTGGGACGTATGGCTTGACCTTGAGAGGTGGATGTCACGTGGGCAGCAGTTTCAGTGATGAGCGAATCGAAAACGAATTAATTCAGTACAAACCAATAACCGTTACTCAAATTAGAAGCGGTGGACCGGCCGATAGGTTTGCATGTTTGTGTGTTTGTTTGAATGTTTCTTTGTATATTTATTTGTATGTATGTTTGTTTGTATTTAATTTGTATGTGTACATGTCTTTCAGTATGTTTAGTGACATATGAATTACTTTTTTTTACCTCAGTGATGAAAAGACATTCAAAAAATTTGAAAATATAAAAAATAGGGATGGGACAATAAAAGTAGGCGACCGAATACTTTCGATAAACCGAACCAGTCTTCAGGGTAAAACGTTGGACGAGGTCATGGAGCTTTTGAACGTACCCCAGCGAGAAACCGCCATCTTCGTTGTTGAGTATGACGTGTCTGTATTAGGTTGGTTGGTGATCTGAATGTGTGTATGTGCATGTGTGTGTGCGTGCGCTCGCGCGTCATTATCACTATCATCGTTATCACTATTATCATAAACCTCACCGTCATCCTCATCACCATTATCATCGTCATCATTTCTATCACCACAACTATCAGACGTTGTCCAGCAAGCCAATGGTCCTCTCTTAGTTGAAATCGACAAACAACCGGGATGCGCCCTGGGTGTGACCTTGAATGAAGGTCAATTTAGAGGTCATAAGGTCATGTATATTGCGGAAGTTGAACAAGCCAGCATCGGAGATAGGTCGGCGTGCCGTAATTTTCCGGTCATCATCATCTGTGACATCATTTTTAGCATACCAAACGTGACATCTTTCTTCATCTACTATATTTTCACTTTCTATATTTTCATTTTCACGATAATCACCATCATTTTCATCATTATCATCACCACTTCAACAACAACATCATTATCATCGTTGTCTTCCCCTTCATACCAGGTGTGGAGCCCTGCACTACGGTGACCACATACTGGCCATTGATGGGTGTGGTCTCGAGGGGGTGAGTGTAGAAGGGGCCAACGAAATGTTGAAGGTCAATCAAGGTCATCAAATTCAACTGGAGGTCGTGCCTTCTCATTTGGTCGCCCAACAAACCGTCTACTTCAACAACAACGATTTCTACAACGTCAACAACAACAACAACAGCCACAACAAAAACAATTTAAACAACTTTCGCGAAAAAAGCGTTATTAGTAAAAACGATCCAAACAACAACAGCAACAACAACATTAATATTAATAATAACATTAACAACAACAACAACAATTGTAGCAGCAGTAGTAGTAAACACAACATTACTGCTAGTAGTAATGTTAGCAAATGTAAAGATGAAAGAAGAAAAAGTAATACAAGCAACCATAGCACTAAAAATCAACACGCACCACACTGCAACAAATACGTTCCTCCGCAGCTACCTGAATCGCAACAACCACAACAATCCCAGCAGCCACAACAGCAACCACATGTACCACATGTACCACACCAAACTAGACAACAGCAACTACAACAACAACAACATAGCAGACACAATTCTCAAAGTAATTCGCAACAAAGCACTCTTCAAAAAAACATACCCTGTCCACAACACCAACAACAATTACAACCACAACAATGCTATCACAATAACAACAACAACAACAAACAACAACAACAACAAATTCGACCAAGCGAGACGAAAAGTTTACCACACATAAAACGAAATTTAATACAGAAACAAAAGCAATCCCAAGAAAGACATCAATATTTTCAACAATTACAACAACAACATCAACAACAACACAAATTGCGACAAGACAAGTACCACCAGCAACAATACCAGCAACAGCATTTGCATTCTCTACCACTACCACATAAAAGAGATGCGTCATTTGATTCAGGTTAGCTTACTTAATTTACTAAAAACTATTTTTTTTTGAGATTTATGATTAAACTTTATTTATTTAAAACATTTTTTCAAATGTAGAGAATAATTTGGAAATAATAAAACAGAAATAGCCATGATTAAAACTAACTTGATTTGTCATATTTTTAAAGATTCTCCACCCAATGGCAGCTCTGAGATTTCAAAATCGACCAATCAGGATGAAGAACGCTTGTCATCGGCCAGCCTGACCAGCCTATCGACGCAGAACACATATAACTCCATGACGACACAAGTAGATGAATACAAAACACATATAAATAAACGCATACTTTTCTTAAATTTTGATCAAAATGACAAAATATCAAGCCTATATTGAAAATGAAATATTTTTCAAATCATTTTGAAAAATGGAAAAAATAATGGAAATAATTTACGAAATAACCACTAAACTACTGATGCTCACAATACGTAGGTAGGCTCCGCCATGGTCCCAACGTGTCGAATAGGTGCAATGCGGGACACGGCCAGAAAGAAATGTGCCGGATTCAGTTGTTCGTTTCATTGAATAAGTTTTAAAATTTGAGTTAAATATTTGACAAAAGAATTTTTAAAAATTTTTGAAGCATTCATTTCACCACAAAAACAAATAAACTTTCTAAACCCTGACCCTAGCGATGCCGAAATTCTCCAGCCTAATGAGCAACCTTGGCAGAGCCCCTCCCCACACCCAAATCTGTCACGTAGACATCGTAGAGGTGCAACTTATAGCCGACAGGGGTGGTAGTTTCGGGCTGCAGATTGATCCGGCGCACGGAAGATCATCCGGTGTGACGTCACAACCCCAGTCCTGCATCCTCACCGTACCCCCCGTCGTCTCCTACATCGAGCCGAGAGGGCCTGCCGAACGGTTAAAAAAATCACCTCGTTTTAAAAATCACAAATTTTGACTGATTTAATAGTTTTACAATTTTAATTAATGTATAAAAACCTCGCAAATTATCTGGAAATATTTATTTTACCAATTTCTACATTTTAATTTCAAATATAGAATTTGATTAGTAATGTTTGAATCAACAAACCAACAAAAATACTTTGAATCTTCACTATAAAAACTGCCCACCTCACCGAACGTAGCTGTGGGGTCTTGCAGGAAGGCGATCGCGTCCTGGCCATCAACGGTCAGCAGCTGGAAGGTATCTCCCTAGCCCAGATGGACGAATACATAAATGAATCTAGAGTTAAAATACTACTTTTGGTCGAATTCGACGTTGCAGGTGTTTAGAAAATTCTTGTCTAAATTTAAAAAAAGTGATTTTTAAACGACAGAATTAAATTTAAATTAAATTTAATTCATTTTAATATAAATTCTTAAAATTGTTCCTCAAGAATCGATAATTCCAAGTAGCGGTATCTTCATAGTTAAGTTGGCGAAAAGGTCGGCAGGGCTTGGCGTTACTATCAGCTGTAAGAAGAATTTATTTTCTACAATTTTTAACACAAATTTTGATGATAATTAAATTAATAAGCAATAAATTTCAAAATAACTCATTTATTTAATTAATTTATTCTAGAAATAACGTCTACAAACATTTTAACCATTGTTTAGTTTATAAATACGGACAAGCTCTTGCTTATACGCTTATGATTTTGTCAAATATAAATCGTCCTAAAAACCACAGACTTAAAATTTAATTATTGAAGTAAAATTGTAAGATTTGAACTATAGAAGGCATATTTTTTTCAACGTATATAGGCCCGAAGAACAGAAAACCAGGCCAACATTTGGTCATATCAGATGTAAAGAAGGGCAGCGTTGCACATAGGTACTTCATTTTGTCTAATAAAATTCTCAAGTTTCAATTTCATTCAAAACCAATCAATCTCTAATAGAAGTAATCAATCTAAAAAAGAAATGGTCCGATGTATTAACTAACAAGAAGCGACACGCACACAATACTAACACTAGTTAAGAGTTAAGATTCATTTATTCAATCAAACAACTGAAAAATCAGCCAAACTTAAAAACTCATGACCAACTCCAAAATTTACCCGACTAACACACCCTCTCGGCAGAACCGGCTCCATCCAACCAGGCGACAAACTGCTGGCCATTGATAATGTCCGCCTGGATGATACCCAATGTTCCCTTGAAGACAGTGCCAGAATGCTGAGAGACACCAGGGATATCGTCAAGTTAACCATTCAAAAAGATGAAAATTTCGCCGAAGAGCCTGATCCGACTAATTTGATCACGTACACCGTCGAACTTCCGAAATTCGCCGGTGAGTAGTTTATCATTATTCATTCAATTTGTAGGTGAATTTAATAAATTTATTCATGCTGTTTAAAAATGTGATAAATTTAATCAAAAATGAGTTAAATTTAAACTTTTTTGAACAATTATTAATGTAGTTTATTTTAATTTAATTTTTATTTAACTTTAAAATTAGAAAAAGATCTACGTAAAACAAAACTTAAGAATCAAAATAAAAATCCGATGTCAATCCGTGTAGGGCCAGTTGGGATCACAGTATCTGGCAGTGAAGAGCCTTTTGATCCCATCATTATCTCCAGTCTGCTGCCTGGCGGAATGGCGGAAAGGTGCGTTTTGTGCTGATTGTTCGGCCGAAATGTTAACGAACTCTCCACACGTTTATGAACTTTAGAGCACCGCACATACTTCTATTCATTATTGCACGTGAATGTGGCTTCGTAAATTTACACCCACCAAACTTAAAAAAGTTTCTCATATTTATATAATATCAGATTTAAGCGAAAATTGAACAACACATCCTTAACTTGAAAGGCATTTAAACAATCTTCTTCCCAAGCTCAAACAATACAGTAACAAAACAACAACATAGCAACATGACAAAATAACATTAACGTTCAGAACTGGAGCCTTGCACGTTGGGGACAGATTGTTGGCCATCAACGGGACCAGCCTCCGTGGAAGCACCCTGACAGATGCCGTCCACCTCCTCCAAAATGCTGGTACTTCTGTCACCCTCAAAATTACGAGGCCCGCAAATTCTAGCAACAACAGTGTCAATGGTGATTTTTTATTTTTTGACGTGGTAAAAATGTGTTAAAATGTTTTTGAATAAGCATAGTTTCTACTGTATTTTAGTTAGAATTGTTGCAATTTTTACGACAGTTATAACACCAATTATATCACATTATCTGTAATTGTTTTATCAAATAAATGTAAAACAAATTTTTGATTTATTTGTCATTACATTAACGAAAAATAATCTTAAATAATTTTTTCAACCATTCATTCAGTACCCCCAACTTGTACGATGGACAGGCGATTAGGAGTAAGCGTGCACTATTAATATTAACAAATATTTTTCAAAATGTAATAAATTATTAATAATATTCATCTATAGAGCATAGACAGTGCCCTTGAGTCATGGGGTAGCTCAGCAGCTGACGGCAGCAACGCAGCAGCTGCTGGGGCGAACAACGGGGCAGCTAAAGTGTTTTTCCACCCATCAATGAGACACAGACCTCGATCACAACATTACTTCGGTCAGCTTTTTTGGCGTGATTAAGTTGGATATTTAATTAATTTATTTTATGTATTTAATTGGAATAATTTCTTCTTGAAAATGAGAGTTATCTAATCGTTACAAATGACCGGAAACCAATTATACAGACTCATTGAACGAACAATCAAACGAGGACCTCGACAACAACAACAGCAGCAGCAGCAACAACAACAACAACAACAACAAAGAATCAACATCAACACTGAGACACGAAAGTAAATCTTCGGATATCAGGTCTCACGCCACTATTCAAAAAAATATCGATGACGTAATCAATGAAGATCTCAACGCTAGGCCAAACCTCGTTGAAAACGTCACCAGATGGCAGGACAGAGAATACAGCAACAAAAAAAACAATAATAACGTTGTCACTGGTAATATTAGCGGTACAAAACTGGCCAGTATCACGACTAATGATGGCTCCAGTCCAATGGGCAGTAGTAGTCTGGGGAGTAAGAGTAACGAGACTGATGAATGGTCAAGAAGGTAGTGGAAACTTTTTTGCTTGATTTGTATAATGTTTTAATTTCAAAATGATCGAAATTTTAAAAATTGGTAATCTCTTACACAATCACAAAAGATTGGACGAATTAGACTACCTTAGATTCAACACGAGTCCAACTATGGACAGTTTCAGTGATCTACCGGACATCGCCGAAGTTATTGCTGACAACGAAGAGCAGCAGCAACAACAGCAGCAGTTACAGCAACAGCAATTACAACAACATCAATTACAGCAACAGTCACAGAACCAAAAACACCAATTTCAACCACTACAACAACAGCAACAAAAACCTCAACAACAGCTACACCAACAACCAACCCAACTAGTCCCCGAACAAACACGTGACACCAGATTAGACACCCAGCAACAACTGATCAATCAATGCCCCTACAGACAGCTGGCCCAACAACAACAGATCATGCAACAAAATGAGTAGGTGTTCATCGCAAAAATGCATTTTCACGAACAAATTAAAAAAAGTAACCAATTTATAAATTGCAAATCTTAAGCGACAGCACCAGCACCGAGCCTGAAATTCATCTCGAAGAGGTGGAAGAACAACTGCAAAATATTTTTACACCAACACCCATTGAGCTTTTGAAGGTCGTCATCTCCAAGGCCAAGGACAAAGAAGATTTTGGGTTCAGTTTGTCGGATGGAGTTTTTGAGAAGGGGGTGTACGTTGGGGCTGTGAGAGCAAAAGGGCCAGCGTCAACAAAACTGAAACCATTCGACAGAATATTACAGGCATTCTTCTATTTAGTTTTATTATTTAAATATTTAAAAAAAAATATTTGAGTAAAATTAAGTACCATCCAATTTTTTCATCGAGCAAGTGAAAGAATTTAATTTCTCCGATTACCCCCAATCTAGGTAAACAACATAAAATCGAAAGACATGGAATGCAGTCAGCTGGTCCCACTCATCGCTTCATCCGGAAACACATTGGAACTGGTCATAACAAGGAACCCACTGTTGAATGTCAACCAGGGAGATGGTGAGAAGAAAGAAAGAGGAGGCTCGTTAAAACACGAGAAACCACTGAAGAACAAATGCGTCGGAAATAGTTGCCACAGCAGCCCCATGGTCAGTAAATCGAAATATAACAACCTACCTACGTCGCCTGGACTTTGCGAAAAAGAAAAACTTGCCACAAAATATCAGGTTCTTTGAATTTTCGATCATGATAAAAAAATTTTTTATTTTAAAATTTTAAGTTTTCAATTAAATAAAACTACAACTCAAATTGTTGCAGACATTTATAAATAATTGTATAATCCAATTCGAAAATTGCAGAGTACACGTGAACAGTCCCCAAGCCATTCAACGGCATCCAACGAAACACTGAATCCCTCCAAAAAGTCTAACTCATTGCAAGAAAGACCCATCTTTCACGAAACTCCGCCCAACTTTAGAAGCTTGAACTCCTTACAAAAACTGCAAGCACTCACAACTTTGAAATGTACAGATACCATAAACGTCGCTAACCATGGCGGCAAATGTGAAAATACTTTAAAAGAAGTAAGAGATGTAGGCATAGAAAGAGTAGAAAGATTTGTAGATATAGAAAGAGATGAAGATAGTGAAACCAGCCATCATTTTCTGGCCTCGTCAAAAAACGGAACTGTAAGAAGAAACCCTGCGGCCAGCAGAACGATCTCTAAAAATAATCAATAAAAAACTTCTTAATGGCTTCATTTGGCCAATTATTTTTTTAATTTTTATTTAACATTAAATTGTAATTAACAAAAAATTAACTAAATTTAGATAAAAAATTTTTTTTTAGAACTTGTAGAAATATAAAACTCTGACTGACTGCATCTAACACCTCCTATATGTAATGGATGGATGAAATTTTCGCTAAATTATTATCGACTTGTATGTAATAATCGTAGCTTCAAACGTTGCACGTCTATTTGGGGTTTTTTTTCATATTGGCTTTTATTTTTGTAACACAGTTTTTGCAAATTTATTAATATCATTATTACTACAACTACTATTACTAATGCTGTTGCTGCTACTACTACTACTACTACTGCTACTGCTACTACTATTACTACTGCTGCTACTACTACAACTGCTGCTGCTGCTACTACTGCAGTGACTAGTGCTACTAATACGACTAGTGACTAGTGCTAGTGCTATTATTACAACTACTACTGCTTTATTTTATTTTGCAAAATTGAAACTTTTTTTATAAAAACAGGCTTTAAAGCAATCCAGTAGACAAGAATCTGTGTAAAAATCACTGCCAAATAAGTGTCCCATTCTCCTAGCTTGGTCTCAAAACTGTCGGTTGATATCAGCTCATTCCAGGTGCTTGCAATGCTGCTGAAGAATCTTCTACACACCTTTTTCATTATAGAGTTATTAATCCACATTCTCTTAATCTTCGTATGGAAGTTTTCTATTTTTTTGATCGTTTGTCTTGTTCTTCGTTCTACCTACCTTCTTCAGAATATCCTAGATTTCCAACTGGTTTCCAAACCGATGTTCAGTGTTTACCATAGACAGAAGAAATATTGTTTTAAATAAAAATATTGTTCTTTTGTGTTTACTAAGCGATAATAAATTAACGTTGCGATAACGACGGTGGTTTTTGCGGTTATAGATCGTTAAAATAAAAATAAAATCATGAAAAATGAAAATTTTCTTGAATGTGAATCAAATTCAGTTGAAGAGAGTTTAATCTTGCCGGTAATTATAATTTTTGAATCATTTTCTCTTAGCTAATCTAGTTTGGTAAGCAAAAAAAAAACATAATGTCATAATCCCCATAATCCATAATAATAATAATAATAATTAATTATTAATATTATAATTTAATTATGAATCAGAATATTATGATCTATCGATCTAAAAGATTATAAATTCTTTCTCCCATTTCATTTGATACCTTAAAATAAAAAATTACTGAATTTAAAAAGAAATTTTTAATTAAATAAATTCTGATTCATTTAATTAATTAAATATTAATACGGAACATACTATTATTACTTTTGAATCAAAAGTTTGATCATATTTATTGCTAATAGAATTTTGACACCAAGAATCAGTTTGAAAAAAAAAATGCATCCCCAGCTGCTACATTCAAAACTGTCACACCAGAACCTGGTTAGTTTTGTCTAAAAAACATAGGACTAGCAAAGTTTTATTTTCTTGGCTACTTTTACTACATTCACTTCATGTGTATATATATATATATATATATATATATATATATATATATATATATATATATATATATATATATATATAATAAAATATAATATAATATATTCTACTTCTTTTATTTTCAACAATAAATTTTCTTATTTTATATTTCATATATAATTTAATTTGAAATTTTTCAAAATATTCTCCTGAAAGGATTTTGTATGAAGACAAAAGACAGTCAGAATAAAAAAGTCTTCATCAATGTCTGCAAGTGTAACAACGTTAGTTAGCTAGCTACAGCTACTCAGCTAATAAGCTAGTTGGGCATTGTTTTATAATATTACTTTCAATAATAAAAACTTTATCCAAACAAATTTATTCAAATATATGTATATATCAAATCTATCTAAATGTTTTCGTTCCTAAGATATTGCCTATATTTATCATTACAGATAAATAATTTCTTTTAATTACATCTCGTTCAATCATGAAATACTCAGATTCCCAGGCCAAAAGATATAACGGATGAAGAGATTGTGACGTTGCTGGCCTCCGATGATCCAACCACATTCAGGGTTCCTCTAAGTCTTGGAGAGCCTCACCTTGAAACTGATAACTGTGGGTCTAGTTGTCATTAAGAATCATTAGCATATACATGATACACATGTGAATAGTCACATCACACACACTAATTCCACATGTGATAGACTGGCTGAAATCTCTTTGCATTTAAACCCAGTCACTACAACATTAGTTCCAGGCAACTACATGTATATAATAACACACACACACATACACACACACACACACACATATATATATATATATATATATATATATAACATACCTATATATATATCCATAAGCTGGACAAGCTTGTACAGCCTATGACGTCATGATTAACAGTTCATTTTTTGCCAACATCCAAAGTAGAGAATGTCTTAAATCGTTTTTCTTCAACATTGTCGTTTCTGGCCTTGAGGACAAATTCAATATAGAGCTAGATAAAGGTATTCTGTTGTACTTTGCTTTTATTATCTTTTCTTTATTTTTCATCCAGTGTGTATTAAACAATTTATTTTCATTCATTTGTATATTTATTCATTTATTCGTTCGCTCGTTCGTTCATTCGTTCGTTCATTCATTCATTCATTCAGATATTATAATTCTGAAGAATAAAAAATTCATGGGTACTCTTTCTCCACAAAATGTCAGAACTCAGAGCAAACCTTGGATCATGGAGATGGATGAAACCAATAATAAGGACGAGTCTGTCCGCCCTTTATTATTATTATTAGTTATTGTTATTATTATTATTATTAATCCTCTTTCAAATAATTTTCAAAATTTTCAACAAAACACAACAAACACATAGCACATGTGATTGGTGGCAGAGGTCTCTATGCATTCAAGTCTAGTTACTGCAACAGTCATGCCAAACACCTTATCCATTCCGCCATTAAATTTATCGTTAATTTCGACTTTGCTCTTTTTGCTTCTTCTACTTTTTCTCTTTTTTTTTCTTAATTTAATTATTTTTCTATAGTTTTTTGAATACTTTTTTATCAGTGCTGGAAAGATTGAGAAGAAACAGCTGTTAGAAAAGTAATTATAGATTTATAATTGACAACAATCCGCGAGCATGCATGATTAATATTATTATATTTAAAAATTCATAATAAAAATAATTCCAGGTTACGAAATTGATAAATTTATATTCGTTTAACTGTTAAAAAACTCATCATCTATTTAAACATTATAAGGTAAAATAATAATCAATTTTTTGGGGCGTTTGTTCAGTTTGCATTTTTCATGTACCTCAGGGCACAGACTCCAAAATATACCATAATACAAGAGCCCAGCGAAGGCCTACCAGAATACCTGGTTGGAGAGTTTCGACTCCCAGATATTGTAAATTAAATTTATCTCTACTGTATTATTAATTATGATAACATTTATTTAATGTAATAGTAATATAACTATGTTACAAACTTGCCATTCAAATTAATACACTATCAATTCTATACTAAAGAATTTTGGCTTATTTACTATTGTTAATTTTTTCGTAATTAATTAATAATACTAATTAATTACCATAATTTTACCATACCGTACCCTAATTTTGATCACCCATTTGTAGAAAATGGCATCGTCACTTTCGTTAGATATTGGTGAGGATAGATTGGTGCTAGGCACTCGATCTGGCTTATACCACTTGGATATCTACCTTCCATATAACCTTGACCAGTCTTCTTGTACAGCACAGTTCAACAGAAAAACTAATGTTGGATTTGTTTTTAATAAAATTTTCATTCCCCGATCTTACACAATACACAATTGAATAAAATGTGATATAAATATACCACCACGTATAGCATGCATCATTTAATATGAATGAACATTTATTATACGTATAATATACGTTTATTATACTTATAATACACGTATCATATATCACATATCCAGGTTCTAACAGTCATAATGCCTGTCATCAATTACAGAAGTTCATGATGATGTGAAAGACAGGCCATATTATTGTTATTGTTATTATTATTATTATTAAGTCGTATGTATGTAAAACATTCGTTTGTATGTATGGTTGTAAGGTGAGGAGATACACGTGTGCAAATTTTGTTAGGTATGTACAAGTTATACAATATATATATATCTATGTATATATATATATATATTTATATTTACAATATTCTATAAATTCTACCGAATGTTTGGCGTTAACATGTTTGTAGTTCGTTTTTTCGATTTTTCTCACTAAAGTTTTTTAGTGAACGTTTAGTTTATTAAAATTCAAAATAAACTCATTTTCCGAATTCGTGCTGCAAATAAGGCCATATTTCGATTCCGAATGAATCATCATCAATGCGGTTGATGTTTATATAGGGAAATATTGACTGTCAAAAACCATATATATATATATATATTGGTAACAGACTGTTGTTAACGCAACATTTCAAAAATTCAACACTACTTTCAACATTTTTTTCAACAACAAGAATGGTGCAGTTGTTACATTTGTGACAATAGTAGATTGTGCATTTTTACTTTTTCTTCTAAGTGATGCCGTCTAACTGTACAATGACGTCATTAAACTTTTCCGCAGGATTCTGTTTTTTAGACATATAGTTTATGATATTTTATTATAATTACTATTATCTTATTATTATTCTTATTGTTTGCTTGTTTTTTTCTTATTTTGTGATAAAAATCAGTTGATGGGATTAAAATTTTGTGTGAAGTGTAGAACGTGCGCGCGTGGTTTTCCAACTATCTTAACTAAATTAAATAAAATGTACCACAACGAACAAGACTGTTCTTTGCTACTTAGGACTTGGAAATTAGTTAGTCTGTCATACATAGAAAATAATTTATTGTTAAACCGAACCGAAATAACGTTGTACTCATCGTTTTGCGCAGTTTACACGGTTTGACGGTTTTGGCATGGATACTTGCTATCAGTAAACAAGTATACAAATCGAAACATATTACTAATAATATGAATAGTAAAAATATAAATAACATTAATAATAATAATAGTCTTCATCTTTTTTTCATTTTCATTGAAGATTCCTTCCTCCTCCTAGCGTTGATGGGATTTCTCGGGTCGGAGATGACGTATCTATCCGAGTCGGCCACGTTGGCATCAAGTACTTTACTAGCTAAAGGTTTGTTGTTGCTACTGTGGCTGTTGTAGCTGCTATCTATGGCTGGTTTGGTGGACGTTTTTGTAGTTTTAACAGTTGTCGATTTTGCCGCCGTTGTAGCCGCGTTTGTTTCTTCAATGAATTTTAGTCTGTGGGTCATCCTAGAATAAATAACATTGACTCAGGTAAATTTTTACAAAAAATTTTGGCTGAAAATGAAAAAAATATTTGTGGCGAAGTTTGTAATCAATTGGCGGAATTATAAATACGTTGAAAAACTATCCATTCTTTCATTCATTCATTTATTTATTCCTTCGTTCGTCCTACCCATCCATCATCTTACCAACTAAGATCTTTATTGCTGGCGAAGTCGTCATCTTTCTCAGCGGCAGGGTCGCGATTAGCATCCTCATCATTTTCGTCGTCGTCACTATCGTAGGCAGTCAACCTTTTGGTACTGTTTAATTTATCTTGAAATCTAGAGAGCAGATCTAGCGTCGTTTTTTCCCTATCAGCACCTTTCGGTTGTTGAGAAGTCTTTGAATTTTCATATTTTTTCAGGTCCCTCTTGAATGATTTTACCGATGTCTGATTAACGTTATCTGCCATGTAGTATAGTGATTTTGTGACGTGGTGATAATAAAAAAAACTGTGATAGTGAAAATTACGTTTCTTATGATAGAAACAATGGTGAAGTGACAAAATGGTTACAAAAAATTGAATGGCGACGACGTAAATTGATGGCGCGTAGGGAGTGGTGTTGAAACGGTTTGTTGAAAGATGATAAGAATGTTGATGTAGAATGTTAATGTAGAATGTTGGTGTAGAATGTTGATGCAGAATTGTTGAATCCTCTTCTAAATGACTTCTGAGTTAATGATGGTGTGATGATAATTGAATGATGATGATAGCAGTTGGAGAAGATGATGGTGAAGTAATAATGATGATGACTCTGATATCGGTAATGATGATTGTGACAAATAAAAACCTTTGCCAGAGTTCTTATCAGATTTTTTATCATCACCACCTTTTGAATCTCCAAGTAACTCTTTTTTGAGCTGTTTAGCTTCTTCTTTTAGTTTTTTTCTGGAAATTCAAAACAGTTTTTCAAACTGGTTACCAAAGACAAAATTTATAAGAAAAATATTTACATAAAAACAAAAAAAAAAATCTTACATTCTATTTTTAGATGAATATTCAAGCTCTGGGTATTTTAGGTCTTTATTATTACCATCAGCATCATCACTTTTATCACTTTCATCATCATATTTCTGCCTCTTTCTTCTCTTTTTATCATCAACTTCATCATCGTCGTCATCGTCATCTTTTTGGTTCTTCTTTTTCGAGACTGCATCATTCATTTTCTTCCTCCTTAACTTCTCTTTCACCCCATCAAGTCTGACTTTTTTAGAATTCATCGACTAGATAAATTTTTTTTAAATCATATTAAAACAAATTTTTCTTATTTTTATACAAAAAGATGTATCTTTTATCAAGAAAAATGATAAAAATGACCATTTTATAATATAAACATACAAAAAATCATGTATGAAACAATGTATAACATCACAAACATGTATATATATATATATATATATTTTACAATATGGTCTATTACCAATATATATATATATATATGTGTGTGTATATATATATATATATATATAAATATATATATATATACGCATATATATATAGTACATAAATTAGCATCTTCATCATATATACATGTATATTGTGTATTGAAACTATTGCACAATAAGAGCAATACAAATAAAAATAAGAATAAAGGAAGAATGATGTCATAAGAAAGTTACTCACTCCTTCATCAGAGTCATCATCCTTCTTATTGCTGTCACTCATTTTAACATCGCCTTCCACATAGTCATCATCATTATTCTTCTTAGGTCTGATATCCTTTGAAAGGTATTTATCATCCAGTAAATCGTGACTACTCTTGCTTTTTGGGTTGATTTTCTGAGAAAAAAAAATGAATCTATTTATAGCTGAAATTTGTTTTAAAAAATAAATCAGTAAACAAATAGTAACCAAAGATTGTAAAATTGTTACTAACTTCTGGCATTTTCATTAAATCATCTTCCTCTTTCTCAGCCTCTTCTCCAAAAGTTAGCAGACCAAAATTTCTTTGATTATTTTTTAAAAAATTAATTCATTTTATCTGTTTTAATTTTATTTTACCGTGACTTATCAATAGTTTCAGGACAAAACATGAAATATATATAAAAGTAATTATTGTGAAATTAAAAAATAAAAAACAGATGAATTAGAATAAAAATAAAAACATCACATACTTAGTAGCTTTAGAATTAGAAATTTTCTTTTTAGTTTCATCATCGTCAGTTTTACTTTTCAAAATTCTAGGCACAATGTCATCAAATGGATTGACAATAACCTGAAAAAAATTATCAAATTTGTTTTTATTTGAAGCTGCCATTAAAATTAACACACCTAATTCAACAAAATGAAAAATTTTTTGTGTGTTTTATCAATTTATTTATTAGGTGTGGATGTGGGTGTATGTGTGTATGTGTGTGTGTGTGTGTGTGTGTGGTGTGTACCTTAGTCTTCAAGATTTTGTGTGGGAAAAGTGGCCTGTCATTTTTGTCAACCTCAGCATCCACAAGTTTCAATGCATTGTAAATTGTATCTCCACCGATCTGAATTCAGTTGGAGATTTCAGGAAAGCTAGTTTTCAAACTTTAATTAAATAAATTTAAAATAATGTCGACTGAATAGAATTGTTGAACTGCAAAAAATGAAAATAAATTTGTTAATGAGAACTGACTCTGCCAAAGATAGTATTCTTATTGTTGAGTTCTGGGGTAGCAGCAAGGGTAAAGAAAAAATGACTGGTGTTATCATTGGGTCCATTGTTCGCCATGGCAACCAGTCCCCTCCTCACAAAACGAATTCGAGAGTGGAACTCATCCTAGCAGGGAAGGTTTCACATAATTTCATTTTAGAAATACAAACATAACAAATCTTAGTAGGCAAAATTGTAAACTCAGTAATCAAAACATTCTTTTTCTCGTTATTGGCAAATAAAATCATAGTAATAACAGTAATAATAATTACAGAAGTGAAACTACAAACACTGAATGGCTTTCCATAAATTGACTCCCCATGTGATGAGCCATCACCCAACGGGTCTCCACCCTGAACTATGAAATCCCTAACGACTCTGTGGAAGATTGTCTTGTTGTAGTAGCCCTCCATGCATAACTGCACAAAATTGCGACAGGCTTTCGGGGCCTCCTTAGACCATAGTTCAATTTCTATGTCACCGACTGTCGTTTGCAACAACACCTAGAAGAGAGAGAAGGGAAGAGTTTATACTGAATGGCTTTCCATAATTAAACTCCCCGTGTAATGTATTACAAAAATATATTACAAAAATGTATTACAAAAAAAATTACACACATCTATCTAATTTAAATTTTTAAAAAGTTAAAATTAAAAAATTGGAAAACTAAATTATCAATTAGAATTGTTGTGAATTTTATTTAATATTTACAATATTAAATTAAATTATGAAAACAAAATTAAAATTATTATAATTAATAATTAATGTTGAAAACATGTAAAATTGTAAACAAAAAATTAAAAGTAGAATTGGGAAACTACTTTTCCGTTCGTAGGTGGTTCGTGCACGTAAATGTTACTCATATTTTAGATGTCGTTATTTTATGAAATTAAATTTTTAATAATACCCTTTATAAAATTTATTTTAAAAATGTTTTGTTTATATTTACTTCAATAACATTCATTATCGCTATCATAGAAATGAAACATAGACAAAAAGTAGAATAGAAAAATTGTACAATGTTCACTATGTATTGCATACATTAATTCTATAAAGTTATAAGCGAAATATCTATGAATATATAAATTTAAGAATATATTTATAAAAATATGAATTTATGAATATATGTGCCAACAATTTGAAATATGATCATAAGTGTTTTATACCTCCCATATATTGTACTCTAAATATATGTGTACAACTCTAATGAATGTCAATGTTAAAAATCTCTTCGTTGAAACAATTGACATATATACATACACACATACATAAAAAAATATTAATCCAATTAATTAATTAAATATCAATGGGATCACCGTGATGTTAAAAAAATATTAACATACATACATGCAAAAATACATACATATCTATCAAAACCATGCATATATATATATATATATATATATATATATATATATATATATATATCAAAAATTCAACACTACTTTCAACATTGTTCAACTTTTTTATATTTCTTTTTAATTTATTATTTTCGGAGAAATTAGACATTTTATTGTTTTTTAAAAAATTTAATCAAACAATAAGAATAATAATAAGATAATAGTAATTATAATAAAATATCATAAACTATATGTCTAAAAAACAGAATCCTGCGGAAAAGTTTAATGACGTCATTGTACAGTTAGACGGCATCACTTAGAAGAAAAAGTAAAAATGCACAATCTACTATTGTCACAAATGTAACAACTGCACCATATAATATACTTGATCTAACTTAACTTACCTAGCGTATATTGTATTTTATACTATTATCACCATGATTAGCTTCATCAACGTCAAATTATCATCATTAAGATAGAATTGATTATCGCTATCGTCGTTTCTAGAATCGTCAAATGATTAGAGGGCCTTGTTAAAAAAGCATGATAAGTTAGAAGCATGATAAGTTAGTAGTGCATTACAGCCATAAGTTTAGTTTTGTTAGAAAAATAAGTAGAAAAATAGCAATTAATACGAATTACCCCGTCGTTTCTAGCAGTAAACGGTTTCGTAGAAGTTAATGATCACACGTGCGTCTAATTACTATTGATCGAGATGAATAAATAATTTGAATTACAAAATAAAATAAAATTTTAAATGAAGTTCTAATGCCAAAGAATAATTCAACAAGTAGACGTACAATCAAGTAATGAATGAATGAATGAACGAAAGAATAAATAAAGAAAACAATGAATGAACAAATGAATCAATAAATGATAAATTGAATGAATGAAAGAATAAATGAATCTTGTCAAACAAGTTACAAATTCTGTAACAAAAAACAATGCATCTAGCATTGCATCTTCAGCAATTTTCAAGCAGAGATTTTGGGTAGGGCAAAGAGAGGGATAGTCTGGCTTCATTAGACGGCTGTAGGGGTTTCGTGTTGTTGGCATCATCTGGGAACCTTTCAAGGAACCTTTGCAATCGAAGGTACTTCACAGTTACGAGTTGGTTGTCAAACCACCAACAGTGCAAGCTGTCAAATGCCTCTCCTGCCTTCTTCTCATCAACACACCTTTTGTTTTTATTGAAAATCAATTTAATTTAATGTAAAATGTCCTCACTTCATTGAATGTGGCGTGTGCTTGTCTATAAAACTGAGTGGCTCTACACAAAAAAGCTGCAAAGACACAAAGTAATCGAGCATGAAATCAAAGTAGAAAACGAACCTGATATATACACAGCCTTCTTTAGATTTGTTATCAACAACCAGACTGACAATACCATGGCCTGGACCTACCTTTTCCAAGATGGCGTCCCTTACGACCCTCTTCCAATCCTCACCTATCTCAACCTCAAAGTTGAACATGTTCCTAACTTTCAAACAATTCGTCAGAGGGGGGTACAATTTTTGGATGGGCTTCTCACTGTTTGATACTGCAGGCCCTTGCCATGTTTTCAGGTGGCCCCTACTGCCACCACCATTCATGTGGTGGTTCAATGCGCTTGAGTTTGTCTGCCACTTCATCACCTCATAATCTGAAATGATAGTAAAAAAAGTTAGAACATGATTATGCATTCAGGATACATTAAGATATATACTATTTTGAAAAAAGAAAACTATAAAAGCCATGGCAAGCATACCTTCACCCTTAACAGTGTCGACCTTGAAAACAAGTTTGGATTCATATTTCTTCAACTTATTAATAACTTTATGCCAGAGTTTGTCCTTCAGAATTCTTTCATTGAGAGGTAGAACCATGTCCCTGACATATGAAACAGGTAGCCAGGGGTTGTACTTACCACATTCCTTCTCACATAGCTCACTATGCTGTTTCAGGATATCGATGACTTTTTCCAGCAACTCATTCTCATTATTTTGATTCAACTCTTGTTGTTTTAAATGGGTCTTATATGCTAAATTTGCAAAGATTAATGTAATAATCAAAACCGAAAATGTGACAATGATGTATATAAATTTTTTGATGGTTCTTCCAAATCTACACCCCAGTGAAAGTATTGGTTCTGAGCTGGTAACAACTGCAATATCATCAATATCCAAAGTAAGTTTTCCATCCGAATTCAACGTTTGAACTTTCCAATGTAGGTTTTTAACAAGAATAGTCAAAACAACGTCGAGTTTGAAGTGTGAATTGTGTCTGATGAAGACACCCAACTCCTCCTTGGTTACGCCATTAGTTGTCCTGTAACCACAACCATAATCTCCAGCTAAACTTCTTGCCATTATGATAAGGCTGGACATCAACTCTTGCATTCGATAGAGATCTGACTTCTCAACACAAAGTGCCAATGGATCTGAAGACTTTTTTGGACAAATTATAAAATAATCCTTTGGATCTTGAAATACTACTGAATTAAGACGTTTTTGCAAGTAGATGTAGGCAGTAATCAAAAAAATTGAAAACCCTGCAGCCAACAACAAAACTGATATCTTTGAATTATTTTTAACATCACTAGTAGAGTCAAACTTATAAAAATATCTAGACCAGTGCTGCTGTTGTGGCACATTATTTTTATACAGGCTTTTTGTTAAATAACTACTTTTACTTTTACTACTATATAAAAATGTGCTTGGCTTCTGAAACTCATTATTTATGGTAATATTAGATTTGCCATCATCGCCTCTGACAAAATTATCTTCTTTATGATCTTTGTTGAATCGAGATCTCGGCAAACTGGGGCGGGCAAGTGGACTGGTTTGAAAGGAATTATCAGCAGATGAGCTGCTGTCTTCTGACAAATATGTATATTTAGAAAACATATTTGAAAGATCGAACTCATTTTTTAGACTTTTTGATCTGGGGATGTTGTAGTACGATGGGTCACCACCACGATTATCATCATCATCATTATCATCAAGCTCAATCTGCCAATTAGGTGATGCGGTTTCAATTGATGACTTCTCTCCACTCAAATATTTTTCTAATTTTTTCAAATATAATTTTCGAGTGGTGTAAGTAATGGGTCCTATTTTCCGGCCAAAATAGCCTTCAAGTTGTTTTCGTAATTGTTCATCGTCAATGTTTTTAATAGACTCCGACATTTTTAGGCAAGAGATTTAAAAGTGAAAGTAAGTTTTAACCTTTAAAAGTTAACTTTAATAATAAAATCTTAAACTCAGAGTATCTGCAACTCAGAGCAAAGCTAATTTTAAAAATTAAAATTATACATTGTAAATATTTTTTTAATTTTACTAACGCTTAAAAACTTGAACTTAGAAAGCTTAAAAACCTCTTTTACTTGAATTATATTACTAAGTTTATATTATATATATTACAGTGACTTAGTACCTAGACTTTACTTCCTTGCACCACAGAAAGCATAGCAAACAATACACAAATTACTAATTGTTGTCATTGTCGTGATTACGTATAAAATACAATATACGTTAGGTAAGTTAAGTTAGATCAAGTATATTACATGGGATAGTTGTTACTTTTGTGAAAATTGTAGACATACATATACAAACAACAAGCATACAAGCAACATACAACATACCCTGCTGAAAATGGCAAGTGGGGATGATACTTCTTCTGTTAACAAAATCCATATGATACAAATAACTGGTAAGTATTAATATTAATTTATATTATTTAGTAATTGATATTACTTACATTATAATTTATAAATTTAATTATTCTATTAAAATTAAATTATTTATTTTTCTAAAATTGAATAAAAGAATTTTAAAAATCAATGTCGAATTTATTCAATATTTTGTTTATTAAATTGAATTTTATTAATTGAATAAAACATCAATAATAAATTACAGTATCAAGTCTAGAAATAAGAAATCTATCAAAACTCTTCAAATCAAATCTCTTTGTGGAGCTAAGTGTAGATAACAATGACAGGAACAAGCAATGGAAAACCACCATTGTCAACTCAAAGTTCAGATTCGTGTGGAATGAACTTTTTGATATGTTAGTTTATCAATCAGTCAATCAATCAACTGAATCGTGCTATCAATTATAATTATAGTTTATCAATCATTCAATTATTTATAGCAACCAGTCACTTCTTAGTCAGACCACTTGGACAATCCATCAATCAATTTTTTTAGACTTTAAGATTACATTAAGATTTTATTATTTAAAAAAACAATTTTTAGATAAGCACAAATGGATTAATTAATAAATAAATAATATATTTAATAAATATAATTTTTAATGATAAAACAACATTGCAACTACTCACCACAGTTTGGTCACACCGCACAGCCATCTGCATTTTTCTGTATGGGATCATTCCATTTTACAAGTTGACACAAATGTTGCTTACGCTGATCTCTATCTTTATAATCTTCTGCTTGAGTCTGGTGGGATATGTAGGTACTTTTTATATTTTATTTTGTACTGTTTGTTGTATTGTGTGTATTTTATGTTGTACTTGTGGTATTTTGTGTTGTTTTTTGCTTTATTTTGTTGCATTATAATGCCACACACATACTCACTGACTCACAAACCAAACACAAACACACATTCACTGATACAGTATCCAATGTGCTGAAAACAATAGATATCTATCATAGTGGATACGTTGTTGGAAAGTTAGAGTTAATTTTTGATCGCATGTCAGTGAACATGGAGAGTTTTAACTCTGTGACATTAACTTCAGTGGTTCCAAACAATGCCCCACAACTACAGCAACATCAGCTGCAGCAGCTGCAACAGCGTTCTAGAACGGCAAAAGTTGTTAGCACAGTTGTTTATACCTTACCTCTCTCCCAAAGGCAACATGTGAAGCTAACTACACACTCCCAATCTAATTCAGTGTCATCATCACCTTCTATTTTCTCATCATCATCGTCATCATCGCCATCACTTGTTTTGTCATCATCATCAGCAACGACATCAATATCATCACCAGGTCGAATAACTTTATTATCATTGGCATCTTTGTCATCATCATCATCATCATCTTCAACATCTCCTCCTTTGGTTGTATCTACAGAGTCATCATCATTAACATCATCATTATCATCATCATCAACAACAACATCGTTATCATTAACTACAGCAACAACAAAAGCATTAGATAAGCCTCTTATATCATTCGATAACACAGACGACAATGATAAACATCATCTCATTTCGTCTTCATCAGTTTACTCACCAGATCATAAAAGTGATTTGGAATCTATATTTAACGCCACACCACAATTAACGCTTCTAACATCATCATCATCATCATCCTCATCATCACAAATATTTTCATCATCATCATCATCGTCATCGTTGTATGCATCATTATCAGGATTGTTCGTAACGCCATCATCATCGTCGTCATCGTCGTTTCCATTTGATACTCTATCAAAAGATTTCTTCTCCGCACATTCCAACACTTTGCCATTCTTATCTGTGATACCATCATCATCGTCGTCGTCGTCGTCGTCGTCATCATTATCATATTCATCAATATCATCACAATCATCGTCATCAGCATTACTATCAGCGCCATCTTCAACAGGTTGTTTAACGTCACAATCCACAAAAGCATCGTCATCATCAACATCATCTTCATCATCATCGTCGGTATCATTACTACTGCATCATGATTTGCCTTTTTTAAATACTTCATCGTCATCATCATTATCAACTTTGCAACAATCATCATCATCGTTTCTAATGGCATTTTCATCTATTTCTTTATCAAAAAACATTTTACAACCCCATGTGACGACGATGATAATGACATCATCGTCGTCATCATCATCGTCATCATCATCGTCCTTTATATTACCTATGACGTCACCATCATCGACATCACTTATTCCATTATTTCCATCGTCATCATTATCATCATCGTCAATTCTTCCATCATCATCATCATCATCACCTCAAAAATTATCTCAAATATCATCATCATCTTTATCATTGGCGCCGCCACTTGTTACGCTATCGTCATCGTCATCACCGTTTTACGATGATGATGATGATAAAAATATTAACAATAATAAGAACAGAAATAATAATAATAATAATAATAACGTCATCACAAAGCCAGTCAAGAAAGACAGTGATAACAGGCTATTGTATTTAATGGGTTTTGATGACACTGACGATAGTGAAGATAACAATAACAATAATAATAATTGTAGCAATAATAGTAATGATGATGATGATGATGTAACAAGGAGGACATCATCATCACCATCTTTGTTGGCATCATCATTTGGGATGAAACCGTTAAACGCATCTTCATCAGCGCCATCATCGTCGTCGTCGTCTTTAATAACATTTACGTCACCATCTTCAACAACATCATCACCAACTACAGCAACTACAACAACTACGACAACATCTCGAGTTTTACCTTTCCTAAGATTAATTGAAGATTATGACATCACTAACGATGATGATGACGATAATCGCAATAATGATGACGACGACGATGACGGAGTGCTTCCACCTGGGTTATTATTATTATTATTGTTATTATTAGTAGTAGTAGTAGTACTTATATTACCATTGCTGTTGTTGGTGTGGTTCATAGACGGTTGATTCAAACAAGGATTACAACAATGTAGTAAAAATATTTATAACAATTTTTTCCAAAAAATTAATTCTTTCGCCAGATGGGAGGCGCGCGTGGACCCCTCCCTGAATCTCGTCTACTACGTAGACCACAACAACAAAACGACGACATGGCAGAGGCCGACTCGCAACATGCTCAACAACCTCAACTCGTTCCAGCTCTGGCTAGCCATGCAGAACAACAACATCGACAGCATTCTCAATAGTAGATACAATATGGCGTCGTCGGTGACGTCATCCGTGACGCCACCGAATGTTAATGCTTACAACAACAGCAATAATAATAATAATAATAATAATAATAATAATAATAATAACGTCAATGATATTGTTGGTAATAATGACTATGATACCTTTTTGGATACTGTTTTTGATGTCAGTGATAGCAACATCATTAATAGCCATAATAATAATAATAATAATAATAATAATAATAATAATAATAATAATAATAATAATAATAATAATAATAATAATGGTGGTGGTAATGCTAGCAATAATAACAATAATAATGAAAGTAGCAATAAATGTAGTAGTAGTAGTAGTAGTAATAATAATAATAATAGCAATGGTGTTGGTGAGAATACTGATGAGCAAGTTCAAGGTCAAGAATCACCATTGCCAGAGGGCTGGGGTTAGCCACCCCTGAATAATTTTTCGTCATAATTTTCGGTCATAATATTTTACTATAGTTTAATAGTTAATATAGTTAAATATTTTATTAGTTGAGTAAATTATTAATTTCATCACACACACATATATTTTAGTATATGTATTTATATATTATTATTGTGGCTCATTTTGACCAATCAGAATTGAACATAGACAAAAGGGGCAGGGTATATTACACCAATCGGAGGCTGCGAATTACTCAGTGGGAGGATCCACGACAGCAGAGGTTATTATTATTGTTTATTTATTTATTTATTTTTTTATTTATTATATTAATGTTTTTTTTATTACCAGTTTTATAGAAAAATTTATTAAGTCTATGTTTTGGCCCAATATGATTAACATTTAAAATGGCTTTCATCTTCATTTTCATCACTTTCTCCATCATCTTCATCTTATTTTAACATCACCATCATCTTCTTCATCTTCTCCATTTTCTCCATCATCTTCATCAGTTTTTTTCGAGATGACCCTCTGCCAGACGGTTGGGAAATGTCGTTCACAGATGGCGGTGTCGTCTACTTCATCAACCACAACAACAAGACGACGACGTATAAAGATCCTCGGAAGAAAGAACATGTTGTGTTAGTTGCTGTTGTTGTTCCATGTCCGTCTATTCGTCTGTTTCTCTCTCTCTGTCTGTTTGCCTGACTTGAATGTTTGTCTGTCTATCTGTCTGTCTGGCTGTCTGTAAGACTGTCTATCTTTGTTAGTTTGTGTAATTTGTTTGAACTTGAGAACAAAAACCACATAGAAGAATTTTAGAATACAAGAAGATGATGTGTTAGTTTTTGTCAGAATCATTGTTAGAGTTTGCGAATTCGTTTGTCCGCTGACAATTCGTTCGTATGTTTGGGAAGTTGTTTGTCTTTCTGGGAATTTGTTTGTCCTTCTGAATGTTTGCATCACTGTCTGAGAATCCGTTTATTTAGACTGGGAATTTGCTTGTCTGTTTGTGAATTCGTTTGTGTCTCTGGTTAAAAATTTGATTGCCTCTCTGCTATTTTTTATTCTTTCTTTTTTTCTTTTTCCTCTTCTTCCTCTTTTTTTTCTTTTTATTATTATTATTATTATAATAATTATAATTATGATTTATTATTGCAGCTGTCCCATAGGGAACTTTGGAGTGGCTCTACAGTACGAGAGGAATTTTAAATGGAAGATGAATCAATTCAGACTTAATTGTGTGGTACGCTGATGACGATAATGATGCTGATTGTGATAACGATGACACAGTTTATGATGATGATGATGACGATGACGACGACGATGATGGTGCTGAGAAGTAGAATGTGGATGGTTGAAAATGATTCTTTTTTTTTATTTTCTTATCTATATTTTTATTCGTTCATTTATTTCTTCAATGTTTTGCTCATTCAATCTTTCACTTTATTCCTTCTCTCAATTTTTTATTCTTTCACTGTTTACTCATTTAATTTATTTTCATTCTTTTATTCCGTCAATCCCATTCAGAATCACGCTACGCCAGGATTTGTGAAGATTATCCTATCAAGAGAGCATCTATTTGAGGATTCATTTATACAGGTTTGTGTGTGTGTGTGTATGTATGTATGTATGTTTGCTTGTGTGTGTGTGTGTGCATGTCTGTGTGTATGTGAATGTATGTAAGTGTTTGTTAATTTAGGAAATTTGTTAAGTTCTTTTTCAACGGTGCCTCTTCTAAAGCATATGGCATATGCAATGCATATGCATGCATACACATAGATCACATAGATGTATGTTTGATTCTCTCTCTCTCTCTCTCTCTCTCTCTCTCTCTCTCTTTTTCTCTCTTTATTTCTTTCTTTCTCTCTCTCTCTCTTTCTGTATGTGTGTGTGTGTTTACGTGTATGTTTGTGAATCTATATGAACGTGTGTATGCGATATTTATCACTCAATAACATTAGAATAATCAGATAACAATTGTTCAATTAATTAGTTAATTAATTAATTGAGTGCAGATATCGAGGATTCCAGCTTCCGATCTGAAGAGGAAACTGTTCATTTCCTATCAGGATGAGGACGCCCTGGACTACGGGGGCGTGGCAAGGTTTTGATGATGATGATGATGATGGCAATAATAATAATAACAATAATAATAATAATAATAATAATAATAATAATAATAATAATAATAAATCATAACAGGAACTGGTTTATGACGAGGATGATGATGATACTACTAATAATAATAATCATAATATATGTAATCATAATTAATAATAATATTAATTATCCTAACAGAGATTGGTTCATGAGGCTCTCGCACGAAGTTTGCAATCCCATCTTCAGCCTGTTCGAATACGTCAACAACCATAACTACAGACTCCAGATTAATCCAGCGTCCTTCGTTAATCCGGACTATTTAAAATATTTCACTTTCATTGGGAGATTTGTCGGAATGGTGATTAAAGATTTTGTTGTTTTGTTTTATTTTTAATTTGAATTGGTGTCTTACTAGCGTAACGGTTAGAAGTGCTGTTTAGCTAGCTAGTTTGGTGTTGAAGTGACTTAGTTCAAAAACGTCGTATGAAAAAATTGTTTAATCTGTTGGTTTGCGCGTGTTTACGCATGCCGTGAATTTGCGTGCGTGTGTGTTTGTGTGTGTCTTTGTGTTTGTATATGCCTGTATATAGATTTATAGAGACTACACCGTTATCATTTAATATTGTTGCTGGCGTTATTATTACTATTATTTATTATTATTTTTTTCTTTTCGTATTATAAATAATAATAATTATTATTATTATTATTACTGTAGGCTTTGTTTCATGGCAAGTTCATAGATAGTGGTTTCTCCCTCTCTTTCTACAAGAGCATTCTTAATAGGAAGTTCTGCCTGAAAGATGTCGAGAGCCACGATGTGCACATGTATAACTCGTTACTCTGGCTCAAGTGAGTTGGTTGGTTGATTGGTTTGTTGGTTGATTGGTTGGTTGGTTGATTTGTTGATTGGTTGGTTGGTTGGCTTGACTTTCAATCACTCAATCAATCAACCAACCATTCAACAACCAATCAGAACTCACAACATCGATGACGCCGATGATTTAGAAATCTACTTTAATGACGACATCGACGTCCTTGGCCAATTGGAACACTACGAATTGAAAGAGGGCGGTGACAATATCAAAGTTACTGAACAGAGCAAACTGGAATACATCGAGTCAGTTTAATTTCATTGGTTGTTTTGTTAACGACATGGATATTATGAATGTCAATCACGTATACGTATATAATAAATGTATCGCAATATTGTTGATATCTTGTGTTTTATAATATCTTTGGTTGGTCAGTCGGTGAAGCCATTGGCCGCTTCATAAATTACTTGATTAGTTGATAATTCAAATTTGTTGATCATAACATTGTTTCAATTAATTAGTCAATCAATCAGTCAATCAATCTGTCAATCAATCAATCAATCTGGCAATCAATCAATCTGGCAATCAATCAATCTGGCAATCAATCAATCAATCAATTACTGCATTACATCATCGAGCAGATTGAAGATTAACTCACTATTCACTAGAGGCGTGGACGAGCAGATGAAAGCGTTTAAAAGTGGATTCCACGAAATCATACCCAAACAGTGGCTTATTCTCTTAGATGAAAGAGAGTTAGAGGTCGGTCGGTTGGTTGGTTGGTCAGTTGGCTGGTTGGTCAGTTAGTTGATTGATTGGATATTATTAATCATCGATTCAATTTGTAATCAATTCGCTATAATATTATTTTATCAATCAATCAGTCAATCAATCAATTGGCCAATCAATTAATCAATAATCCTACCTATCAATTTATCGTTGGACCAACCAATCGGTTGAATTTTTCGTGAAACAGTTAGCTAATTCATCAATTAATTGATTCATTCATTCATCGATTAAATAATTTATCAATCAATCAATCAACCAACCAGTTGATTGATTATTAATAACTCAATCAATATCCCCAACAACCAATCAATCAACCAAGCAACCAATCGATCGATCAATCAACCAAGCAACCAATCGATCGATCAATCAACCAAGCAACCAATCGATCGATCAATCAACCAAGCAACCAATCGATCGATCAATCAACCAAGCAACCAATCAATTGATCACACAACCAACCAGCTGATGCTATGTGGCATGCAGGAGATAAACGTTGATGATTGGCAAAAGAATACGATCTACAGACATTACACGCCAACATCGAAAACCATCATTCATTTCTGGAAGGTTCTTCCTAATTTATTATTATTATTATTCTTATTATTGTTGTTGTTGTTGTTGGTTGTTATTATTATTATTAATTTTTTTCTCTCAAAAAGTTCGTACACAACTTAGACAATGAGAGAAGAACTCGCCTACTCCAATTTGTGACGGGCACTTGTCGTCTGCCTCTTGGCGGTTTCTCTCATCTCATTGGTCAGTTCCTGTGTGTGGGCGTGGCCCAACCACTCAATCATTCAATCAATCGACCAATCAATCATTCATTCAATCAATCAATCGACCAACCAATTATTCATTCAATCAATCAACCGGTCACCTATTCAATCGTCCAATCAATCAGGAAACAACGGACCACAGAAATTTTGCATTGAGAAGATGGGTAAGGAGTCGTGGCTGCCCAGGTCTCACACCTGCTTCAACCGGATCGATCTACCGCCCTACAAGACCTACGACCAACTCGCTGAAAAGTTAACCTACGCAATAGAAGAAACTGAAGGATTCGGCCAGGAATGAATGAATGAATGAGTGAGTGAGTGAGTGAGTGAGTGAGTGAGTGAGTGAGTGAGTGAGTGAGTGAGTGAGTGAGTGATTGATTGAATGAATGAATGAATGATTAATTAATTAATTATTTGATTTTGTGATTTAATGGATGGATGTTTAGGTGAATGAATAGATAAATATGTAACTCTAAATGAATATATGTTTCTATAATAGATTAAATAAACAAATGATTGAAAGAATGATTAAATGTTTGAATGAATGAATAAATAAATGAATGAACGAACGAACGAATGAATAAATGAATGAACGGTTGTTTGTTTTTCTAATTTATTTGTTATCTTAATGATAACATTGCTGGGCTGTGGTTAATCAGGGTTGAGGTTGGTTAAGTAATGTTACTACTACTTACATTTTCTTGTTTAAACAGCGTGTCTATGATGTTTTTTTTAAATTTATCAAAAATAGATACAAAACATTTTATTATGTTTTAAATTGCATTTAAGTTTCCTATCATGATCTAAAATTTATGATAAAATTTATGAACAGAAAACTTTGCTCTTTGTATAGTTTTTCAATTATTTTTTTTCCATTCTTTATATTTTACTAGGTAGGTACTACATTCATTCGTTTGTTGTGTTTGTCTCTTTATTTTTATATATATAGGATATATTTTTATATTTAAAATGGATAATTTTATATTTTTGAGTTTGTTTTCTATATATTTCTTTCTATTTTCCAACTTTCTATTTTTTTTCAAAATTAATTTATTTGTTGGTTTATTTACTAATATAAGCGTAGATTATTTAATTATGTCTTCTAATTATTTCGATATATCTATTAATTATTTTGATATATCTTATAATTATTTAGATATATCTCATAATTATTTAGATATATCTTGATTTTTTCGATATACCTTAAAACTTGATGAAATCTTCACGCGATTGTGCCTTTGAGGGTGGTTGTGAATGACATTCTTCTATCACCAATTCGAATCATTTGTAAGTAATTTTGATAAGTTTAGTTGATTATTTTGACAATTATCATCAATTTGATTCCGTTCTTGTTTCTGTGATAAAATAAATTAATAATTACGCCATATTTTTTGAAATGACAATTGGATGTATGTAAATGAGTAGTGTGTGTGTATATATATATACGTACAATTAAAAAAGAATCTATGGTGAAAAGTTAATTCGATTCTAAATTTGATCAGCGTGAGCGTTTATCTCTCGTTCGTTAAACTAATTTAATTTTTAATAGGCAGAATTGAATAACTAAATTGTTTATTTATAGTTTAAAATTTATAAATTTAAAAGTTAAATTTATTTAGAAATTTAAAAATCAGCGATGTCTTCATCCGTGTTCGGTATTCATTTTGGTTCGTCCACTGCTTGTATTGCAGTTTGCAGGGTTAATTAATATTAAAATTAAATAGTCAATTAGTTTATTATTACTTTATTTATTTTGTTATTATTTTATTTAATTTTTTGTTTAGTTTAATCACGATAAGTTAGTGATAAGTGTTGTGTTGTTTTGACTTTGATTGTATTTTTGTTATTTACTGGTTTTTTTTGTAAACTGTAAAAAGTAAAGTTATGAAATTAATAATTAATTACTTATTAAATTATCATTAATTATATTTAATTTAATTTTTATTTTTTTATTGGCACAGGATGGTAAAAGCCAGGTTATAGCAAACGATTTAGGAGATCGAGTCACTCCAGCCGTCGTTGCTTTCAATGGAAATGAAATTGTAATTGATTTTTTTATATTTTTTTTTTTTTCTAAACAAATTTCTGAATAATGATTAATTTTGTATCTATTTTTATTTTTTCCCAACCAAAGTTTTTTCAGAATTTTGAAATGAAATTTTTTATTTTCAATTTTAAATCCAGTCCATCGGCTTAGCTGCGAAGCACAATGCCATTAGGAATGCTGCCAACACGATATTCAATGTTAAGACGTTAGTGGGGAGAAAATTTGATGATGGCTTGGCAGCACAGTTAGCTAAATCGACTAATGCCAAGGTTATATTTTTTATTTAATTTTTTTTTTTTTATTTAATGATTATTCAACACTATTTTTAAAATTTTATTTTATTATATAAAAATTTTATTTCCAATCATTTTTACTTTACAGATCATCAACAAAAACAATGAACCTATGTATCAAGTAACATATCAAGATAAAATCTCGCAATATAGAGTTGTAGACATCGTTAAACTCGTCTACAAAAAGATAATGGGTAATTAAGTTAACTTTGGTGTGTTTGTTTTGTTTAATCTACCTTTACGCATGTGTTTAATGTTTTTCTTTTGGGGTTTAAATATTTAGAGTTTTTGGTTAGTTTTTTATTTTCAGTTTTTATGTTTAAATGTTAATTGTGTGTTGTGTTGCAATATGTTATGCTGTATTAATTAATGTTAATGACATCAGAAACAGCGAAAAGTTTCGGTTGCCAGACTAACACCTATGATACAGTAGTAGCGGTGCCATCATATTTCGACGAACAGCAAAGATCAATTATAAAGTCAGTTGGGTGTCGTTTTTATTGTTGTTGATATTGCTATTAATGTTATATGTTATTGTTATTATTGTTGTTGTTGTTGCAGAGAAGCATCAAAGTCAGCCGGTTTCAATGTCTTGCGCGTTATTAATGAGTGTTCATCTGCAGTGCTTGCATATGATGTTGGACAGTCTGATCTGGATAAGAATTTGTTAGTTTGTATGTGTGCGTTTGTATTTTGTTTGTGTGTTTTTTTGTTGCTGTTGTATGTTTGTATTTGTATGTTGTTTGTGTTATTTTTTGTTGTTTTTGGTTTTTCTAAAATGTAGAAGTTTTAATAGTGCTGTTATAAAAATAATACTGCCAACAGTGAAAATAAAAAAAACCTAACAAACGACTAACATGATGACAGAAATGTCCTGGTCTTCAGGGCAGGCGGCCACTCCCTTGATGTCTCCGTGGTGTCGGTCGTCAACGGCATGTATCGAATCGTGGGCCAACTACATGATGATAGCCTGGGTGGTCATATTATTGATGATCTCCTTGTTAAGTTCCTCGTTGATGAGTTCAAAAGGTTTTGTGGGAATTTTGTTTTGGTTCTTTTTTGGGGTTTAGTTAGTATTAATGTTGTGTCAGTTTTGTTGTTGTGGTTGCAGTTGTGCCTTTAACATTAAAGGCTATTTTAACATTTCTACCAGACAATCTAGACTAGATTGCAAGTCAAATGAAAGATCAATTGCTAAGCTCCTATTGGCTGTTGAAAATTGTAAGCACGCCCTCTCTAACCTACCAACATCCACCTGTTCCGTTGAATCATTATATGAGGGTGTCGACTTTTCATGCGTCATATCTCGAAGTCGATTGGATGCCCTGTCAGCCTCCTTCGTCCAATCATGTGTCAGCGTCATTAAACAAGTCGTTGCGATGGCGGGACTTAATTTGAACGACATTGATAAAGTTATTATGTCGGGTGGGGTTTCAAAGATGGCTTCCCTCCAGCAGAACATTCGAGATATGTTTGCTTCTGCTGAATTTTTAAATACCATCAGTGGGGATGAAGTTGTTGCGGTTGGCGCCGCACTACAGGTAATAATAATCGTTTCATTAATTTTTTGACTGTTTTAACACCTTATATACATATTATTTATTAATAAAGTATGTTAATTGCAGGCCTCTATCCTGGTGTCTCGTAACCCAGAAGAGACAAACCTATTCTCCAACCTGCACAAACTACCGTGCCTACCTAAAGATATCTTCATCGAGGTGCTTTATTTCAATTCTTGTTACGCTGTATTTATGGAATATCATATGGTTTCAATATTATGTCACTGATTGAATATTTCAAATCACTGCAGTTGCAAGAGGGCAAGCACCATCTGCTGTTTGAAAGACTCACAGCTATCCCTTTTCGAAGGCAAGTTCACTTTTCACTAGGTCAAGGTCAAACTTCTGCTATCTTGCACATATTACAGGGGTATAATTCTCCGGCTAAAAATAAACCAAAGATGCTAAATGGACTGAGTGACGGCGCTGGGGCTTGCCAAGGTGACAACGGTGATGATGGCAACGACAATAAACTTGAATCTTTATTAAAGGTCCGGTTCTGTCATTGATGCATAGTTTATATAAAAAATTACAAAATTTACTTTTAAGTCTATGTGTAAATGAATTTTGAGAACAATAATAATTAGTAAATTAATTGATTAATTTAATTTAATTAGCTAAATTATTAATTGGACGATTATTTTAATTGCATTTTAATGCTTTAGGTAGTTGTATTGCCGTTTGTTAAATACTAAAATGAAATGAACTTGAATTAAAAAATGTAAAAAAATGATATATTGTGGCAGATCGTCCTACCCAATGTCAGTGAAGATGGCATAGTTGATGTTGTCTTCCATTTCAAACAGTAAGCCATTTGTTTTTAGCGTAATTAGTTTAATATAATATTATATAGTTTATTATTCTTTAGTATTGAACTGAAGTGATGATTGAGTTTCTGTATTAATTTATTCAGTGATGGGGGCTTACACGTGATCTGCACGTCAGCCAATCAGACGCAAGATTTCACCGTGGACAGTATGGCCACGGTGACGTCACCGACGAAACATTTAAGCAAAACTAAAATAGACAGTGATGACGTTGGTAGTAATGACGTCAGAACCACGTAGTCAAAGATTGTAGATATAGGAATTAATTTTTAAAATAAACTCGACTTTGATTTTTTTTTTATTTATATATAATTTTTATTTGACCTGTTTTCGTGTTATTAAAAATCACTATTGTTACCTCGTGTTTTTTTGTTCGGTTTTAATCTGATTAAGTTTTGCAATTTAACTTATTAAGTTGTAAAATCTTTAATATGTTAAGCTTAGGTTAGGATCTTCCACCACTGATAACTTTTTCATGTGTAACTAACGTCGTTTTGGATTCGTTTGTGGAAATCTGGTTCTTAATTGATTCTCATGAGATTTTAACTGCGAGGTGACAGCACGCTTATATCCGCACACAGTTTTTCTATGAATTTCAAATGTTTTTTCATTATAGGTATGATATGGGGTGGATAGAACAGTATATAAAACTAATTAAGCTATCCTCACATTGGAATATTTCATGATCCTAGCCCCGCTAAATTTTACATCGGGTTAAAGACAAACTGTTGTAATTTTGTATTACTGCCTTGTATGCTGTAATAATTTCTGCGTCTGTCAGATCCTGATTTTTAAAGAATAATAAAAAAATTTGTTTGAGTCTCAAATGTTTTTTTCAAACAAATTAATTGCATCTATTCGAAACCGAATCGGTATCGATATAAATGAAAACGTTTTCTATATCGCCTGTGTCACGAATGTACGTCAATAAGTTTCACAATTTTATTAATTCCGATTTAAAAAAATCCGATTTTACCAAACAATTTACCGATTCAAATCAATTATTAACCGACACTTTAATTGCGAATCTTTTTCCGAGTCCGGTGTATATGAACTTGGGGAATAATTTTTTCATTTTGTCGGTCAGTTTGTAATGATCATTCACCGACCCACCTGCAATGTTCCTTCTGTCTTGGTTACCATGCCTTGACCTGTGAAATTTCGGTTTCATTATCCAGGTGTATTTTTGAAAGTTGTGGTGGTTGCTGCTGCTACTGTTTTTGTAGTGGTTGTGGTTGATGTTTTTGTGGTAGTTGAGGATGTCGTTATAAGTTAAGTTGACTGGAGCCTCTCCTCGAATGTAATTTTTATGGTTCTGTTGTTGTTGGTGTGGGGGTAGTAGTTTGATGTTTCTAGTCATTCTCAACACTTTGCTAATTATGCTGTTGAGAGTAATGTTGCTACAGTTGGAGTTGTAGTTGTTGTAGTCGTTATGGTTGTTGTAGTAGTGGTATACAAATTTCTGTATATCCTTGTTAGTGTAATACTTCATTTTGCTATAAGCATCTGTCACGTTCTCATCATCTGTGTGTTGTTGTTGTTGGTGGTTGTGGTGATGATGATGTCGTTGTTGCTGATGTTGTTGCGGGAGGTGTCGTTGTGCATGTATACATTTTGTGATATTGTTAAAATTTTGCCACAACATTTTGTGAAACATTCGTGATAGGTTTGTAAACACTTATTGACAAATATGTAAAGATTTTGTAAAGACTAGCCTTGAGGCCTGACGTTGTATGGATGCGTTACTGTAGCCAAGCAAAGAAACATGACGAACAGGCATTTGCTTCTCATTTTAAATTAATTTAATTTAAATTTTGAAGAAAAAGGAACTGAAGAACCTCCTGTTGCAAGATTTTTACGTTTATTTTAAAAATTATTCAATTTTGGCACATCAAATAGACATTTGTAGTGTTAAATAAGGCTATTTTATTAACTTTTCAATAGTAATAACAATAATTTTTCAAAAATTTATTTAAATTAATTAATTAACCGTAAATAATTTTATAGATACGAATAATTTTATTACAATCAAATCAAAAATAATACAATTTAACCTATATTATTAATAGCAATCAAGAAATTTGCTCTAAATGTGAAGCTTTGTTTATATAAGGTTTTGCAAAATAATATGTAAATAAACATATTTATACATTCATTTGTTTGTGTCTGTGCGTGTGTGTATGTTGCGTGTGTGTTGTGTGTTGTGTGTGTGTGTGTGTGTGTGTGTGGGTGGGTGGGTGGCAGGGTGGCATTGAAAACAGGATGAGGCTAATGATAGTATAAAGAATAAGTCATTAATTAAAATTAAAATTGGAAAAAAGATTAGCACTTAATGTTGTTTTCGTGTTGTGTTTTTTTGTATTTTTAGCGTATCCACAACTGCGTGTGTATATGTATGTGTTTGTATATGTTGTTTATTTGTTTGTATGTCTGTTTCTTGGTATGTGTTTGTATACTTTTGTATGTGTTTCAATGTTCATTTTGATTACGATGTTTGTTGATATATGTTTCATAATGTGATACGTGATCCGTCATTCCTTTATTTTCTTCAGACAACGGAAACGGATGCCTAGTTACATTAAGCTCTAACATCACACATTTATTTCTTGTTTCAACGCATCTCACCAAATTACGGTAGTTTTAAGTATAGTTATTATTATTATTATTATTATTATTATTATTATTATTATTATTATTATTATTATTATTATTATACTATTAATATTATTATATTATTATTATTTTCAGTCCCAAAAAGGAAAATACAAAATAGTTGACTTTGTCAGTTTTAATTGTATATCTAAAAATAAATAACATCCATTTGACCTATTCTCGTTCGTCGAATAAACATTCTGAATCCTGAACAAAAACGCGCCCGAAACAATTGACGTCACCGTAGATGACAAACAGCCGCCATTTCCGCCGTGTTGTTTGTTCAGCAGTTAACCTGTTTTTGAGAATTTTGATAAATTTTGGCTCAAGTCATTCATTTATTTATTAAACATTGTTAGGAGATTGGATTGAGTTGTAGCAGTTTTGCATGAATGAATCAGCGTCTGCTTAGATATCTGTATGTGAGAATTATGAAACATGAAGCAACTTTCCGCGACAGAAAAAAAGAGATTTTGTAAAAAATCGTTATTATTATTCATTATTCAGTTTTTATTAATTTTATTATCGTTATTGTTATTATTTTTATGGGTTATTATCTCCCTATATAAGTTTAACTTGGTCCTGTTAATGCAATGGAAAAATGTCGTAAATAAAAATACTTCCCGTACAACACACTCCACAAACAATTACAAAATGTTTGGGGCGAACGTGCCATCTAGACTAACGTTTGATCCTAATTTTACAACCTTGAATGAATTTCAGTTAGGAGGGAGTTTTTTGAGAGGCTTTCAAATATCATCAAACAACAATTACATCGACGAAAGTATATTTTATGATCAAATTAAAAATTTCTTGAATAATGAAAGCAACTACAAGAACAACGACGATACTGAAGCTACTACTACTGCTACTTCTACTACCACTAACAACACTAACAACAATAATGATAATGACAGTACAATTCAAGCAAACTTAATTCAACATTCCCGAATCGTTCAAAACGTGCTGAACCAAAGAAATTTAACAGCCTCAAATTCAAAAATGTTAAAAACCAGACAGCCGAGGATAAACGAATTATCCATTAACTTTGACCAAAGACCAAAAACTTTGAAAGAACATGAACAAAAACTAAACCGGAAAAAGTTAAACCAACTTTTGCTTAATATGATCAGGAGCGGCAAAAAATTAAAAACTGGTGAAGAAATTTTGGATGAGTTTAAAAAAGCTCGCCAAAACAATAACAACAACAACAACATTAATAATAATAATAACGTAGTTGTCGGTAAATATGATTTTGTTGTTGACGTAGGCGTTGAGAAGGGCGGCGGAATGTTCCACTACGAATGGGATTTGACCCACCAATTGAGAGCGAGAAATCAAAATAAATTCAAAAATGAAAAAAGTAAAAAAAATCTCATCAATGACAACAAGAATAATTATATGAGGAATATTAATGATAAATATGGTAATAATAACAACAACAATAACAAATTTATTTCAATTAAAATGAGAACAATGGTTGATAACGCGGCAGTCCTCGCTAACGAATCTCCGACAACGTACAATAACATCCACAACAACAGCAACAACAGTCACTACATCACAGCCCAAAATGCAACCAACCACAAAAACAACGACGCGTACGACAACGTTAACAACGACACAGCAATCAATGCAATCCACGATAATTACATCAACCTTGATTACACAGACTTCGACATCAACTTTGACCAATTAAACAATGACAACCAAAGTATGCAACAGCAACAACAGCAGCAACCACAACAACAACAGTTCATCTCCAACAAGAAATTAAGACAAAGAAGAAACACAAACGACGTAGAACCGAAGGATGAGAAGGAAGAGGAGGAGGAGGAGGAGGAAGATGAGGAAAGTGGCGAATTCAACCCGAACAGTACAGTTGCAAAAAGACCGAAAAATTCAGATCTGGAAAAGTTCTCATCGTACGTGTACATCCCTACTACATACGTCGGTGAGGTTTATTATGACGTCATTATTAGTTGAACTTTGAAATCGGGGAGAAGGATTTTGTAACAGCATAAATTTTCAACGTTTTCAAACTCGCAGACTCACACCGTCATTTGTTAATTATGATAGCTGACTGAATTTAGCTAATTGGCCAGATTATTATGTTAATTGATCAAATAAATGCGTCAATTAGTTGAATAAATTATGTTAATTAACCAGGCTGCTATTCTTACTCGATATCTGACGGCCAATCAGAAGAGTTGTTGGACGAGGAGGAGATGTCCATCGATGCGTGCATCTATTTCTGCAGGGATAGGAAGAAAACGTTTGCAGCACTCATGGTCAGTTCGATGGATGGATGAATGAATGGATGAATGAATGGATGAATGAATGGATGAATGAATGAATGAATGAATGAGTGAATGAATGAATGAATGAATGAATGAATGAATGAATGAATGAATGAATGAATGAATGAATGAATGAATGAATGAATGAATGAATGAATGGACCAACGAACCAGTGAATGGACTTGGCGAAAATTTAAAAAGGATATCTATAAAAACTTGCGACAGAAAGAGAAAAGCATTCGAGCGAAGAATCAAACTCATCATAAACAAATACGAAAATTATTGCATTATTTTGGTGAAAAAACGTACCCTCACACGCACAGGCGCACAAAACATAATGTACACACGCACACGAACACACGCACACACAAATACACGCGCAAACACACACACACACCTTATCAGAACCAAGGAGACTGCCGTTGTTACAGCTACGTGTTACACAAAGACAAGACAAACGAGGAGAACTGCGACATGGAGTGCAACGGAAACAAACACCAGATTTGTGGCGGACCCAGCTACCTCAGCGTCTTCAGCACCTGCAACCTCTACTTCTACGGCTACTCCTGCATACAAACCTGCTTCTGTGGCGACGGGCAGTGCGATTTTTACACCGGACTCTGCCCATCTGAGAAGTGCAAACAGAATTTTAAAGGACTCTACTGTGATCGGCGTTAGTTAGGCGTGGTTTGGTGTAGTTGGAGCTGTCCGTGGTGTGAATGTTTCCATGTTAATGTCGTCTTTGTCGAGATTGTTCTGTTGTTATGTCGGTTATGGCTCTTAAAAAATTCGTACAGTTGCAGGTGCCTTAACTAGTTTAAATTTTTTAGACCATATTAATACACAACAATATTTCCTACGATAGTGTATACAAATCTTGCCAGGGAATGGATGCATGCAAGAGAATTGTAGCCAAATTATATATATTAATATTATCGGCGACAAAGTATCACAATGTATAATCTATAGAAGGAGATCCTCGCTATATAGGTATGCCCAGATGCAGGCAGTAGCACAAACGCATGTAGGCAAACAAAAAAACAGACACACCCATGCACCATATCTCCAATCATTTTTGTTGATAATAAACACATCAACATAAAATCATTCAACCAAATACTCTCTCTCTCACGCACACTCACACACACACACACATACACACGGAACGATACACAGAAGCAAAATTGAACGTTGGATTAGCAATGGCGTCATGGCTACTGTTTGGCATAATGTGCCTAATGGGCATAGTTATCGTCGGCTTTGGCTTCTGGACTCTATTCCACATGGGGTAGGTCGCATTTTGATTCTAATAGTTAATTAATCAACTATTTTATTAATTAATAGACTAATTAAAATGAAACTCGATTCTTTTTGTAAATCACAAATTTATTTAGTGTTTCTAAGGTTTTTTTATGTGTTAAAAATTCCTAAAGTCTGTACTTTTTCAACGATTTTCAGGATTTTGGAAGCGGAAATTTAACGTATTTGTACAAGTTAACAGGGTACTGAAATGTTCCTTTCAATTCGATCGTATAATAAACGTATATTTTTTCACAATATCTCAAGTTTTATTAATCGTAATAAACCACATGATCATCATAAATTAAAAGAATTAAATAAATAAATGAATAACTTTTATTTACACATAAAACAATAAAACGTCAAATAAATTAAAAAAAAATAGAATTTAAAAAAATGCTATGCTGCAAAACGGTCAAATCACTGATGCATTTACGAGCTTTCAAAACGTAACCTTCCATCGACGACCTTGACATTGACCCCGACCGATCGAAGGTCATTGTTCAGTTCGCTGACCCGTTCTACTTTCAGTTTTGATATGTACTCCTGGTTCTCGGGATTTCCAACGCACAAGCTGTGTATGGCGAGGAGTGCCCACTGCTGATTGGCTGAAAAAAAATGAATGAATGAATGAAATGAATGAACGAATGGATAGATGATTGAAAAAATAAATAAATGAAGGAATTAAACGAACTTGGGCAGAATTTATCAATGGCAGTCATATTCAGGATAGCTTCAATTCCGCCTTTTCCCCTCAACTAAATAAAATAAAAATAATAATAACAATAACAATAATAATAGAAATAAATGTCTTTTAACCAAATCTTGTAGTGTTTTATTTTTGAATGTAATGTTGGCGACGAGAGAGAGGGCATTCCTCTTGACAGATGAGATGTGGGCGTTGGATGGACCAGATTTTAACATTCTCTTCAATATATCTGTAAACAGGAAAATGGTCATCACGAAGATGATGACGTCAGTGAGTTGATATTTACATCACTATCAACAACAACAGCATCGTCGTCATCATCTTCATCGAAATTATTAACAGGAAGATTAACTCATCATCACTATTATCGTTACCACCAAACTAACCGATATTCATGAGAACAACCCGACGTAACACTTCCTCCATCGTTTGGTGATAACCCCTCAAGTATGGAGACAAACGTGATATCAGATCATATGCACTATGAAGTATGCCATGTCTGTAGCTACTGCTTCGGCTGCTGTCGTCGCTATTTTTCTGCTGTGGTATGAAAAGTGTCAGTCGGTTAATCAGTCAATTGATCCATCAAGTATTCAATGAATCAACCAACCAGCCAATCAACAAAGTTCTAACCGTACAATTTAGATTTGATGATCCCAACCATCCCATTCTCATTTCACCATCATCTCCACCATCACCATTATCAGGATTTACCACATCATTACCTCCACCATCGCTATGATCGTTATTAGCACCAACGCCATTATTACGATCGTCATTATCATAACTTTTTAGAATTAATTCGATTAAAAATCTCAACGCATCAACGTTGAAGTGTGATTCAAATTTTTCTCTCGAAGTTTCAGCAAGATTAGCAGCAGTAGTAGTGGTGGTAGCCGTAGAAGCAGTGGCAGTGGCAGCAGTAGCAGCAGCAATAGTATTAGTAAATGCAGTAGAAGTAGTTGTGGTCTCCAACACTTTCAACTGCTCACATTCGTTATGTAGTAAATCTAGGACCAGATGTCTGAAGGATAAACAAAAATTTATTATTATCGTCATCTTCATCATTTTCATCATCGTCGTCATCATCTTCATCGTAGTCGTCATCATCTTCATCGTCGTCGTCATCATCTTCATCATCGTCTTCGTCATCATCATCGTCGTCGTCGTCATCATAAACATCGCCGTCATCTTCATCATCATCGTCGTCATCAACATCATGGTCGTCGTCATCATCATATTCATCATAAACATCGTCGTCATCTTCATCATCGTCGTCATCAACATCATCTTACTTCTCAATGAAAGAGAGATGGGGCCATATAAACCTCAAAAACCCACAAGATTTCAGCAGCTTTTCAACTATAAATAAACTGCACAAAGGTGTTAATTTAATAATAATTCAATCAATCAATCTTCGTTTTGCGTCAAATAATTTAATAATAATTATGCTAATAAAAACAATTACGGTAACATAATTAATAAAAAAATAACAATTATTATTATTGCTATTAATTCTTTCTAAATGATCTCTCTCTCTCTCTCTCTCTCCTCTCTCTCTCTCTCTCTCTCTCAGAGGTATCAACACATACGCACACACCCATACACACGCACACAAACACACACACGGTCACCACAACAGCAGAATGAATGAATGAGTAAACGAATGAATGAATGAAATAATTAATTAATTAATTACTTAATTAAATTAAAAATCACTACCTCCATTCACAAACATCTTCATCATCATCGTCGTCTTCTTCACTTTTCTTAACAATTGATGACAGTAATGTGTGGCTCAGACAAACTATATCATCGTTATCATTACCGCCAGCTTTATCATTATCATCAGCAGCAGCTTCAGTAGCAGCAGCGCCATCGCCTTCATCATCAGCATTATCATGGGTGAATTTATTTTTTGCATATTTCTTCAGCAGTATAAAGGCATCAGCAGATTTAGCAATGCAGTTATACAACAGGGCTTTCGTCGTTGAATTGAAACTTTTATCAAACATAGATTCATTCTTTATCAACTGTTTAAATAATCATAATTACAATAATTATAATAATAATAAATATACACAGATACACGCACCAACACACAAATATAAACAACTACTTTAACAACAATACTAAATAATACTGCCAACGCTTTTATTGGCATTCATTCTTAATAACACACACAACACACATACACACAAACACACAACACAACATTATAAGCAATTACCTCAATAAGAATCACTAATAAAACCGCCAAAACTATCTGATGACACTCATTCTTCAAACAGACAACATTTGATACAAACTGGAGAGCTAATGTAGCAATTTTAATATCTGCATTGCAAAATAATAAATAATTGATAGTAATTAATAATATTAATTATTATTATTATAATTATAAGTAAATGCTAATACACACAGACGCAGGCAGTCATGCACACGTACATGAATTATAGATGGAGTCATTCATCAAATAGTTCGTCTTGTTTAGGCAACCATGTAACAATGAGCACATGCTGACGAGTAATTCTTTAAAACTTGAAAATTAAAGAAAATAATTATATTTATAACTTTATCTATCTATTTTGCCAAAATAAGGAATGTTTATATAATAAAAACACACACACGCTGCATACACTTACACATAAATACACACAGACACACACTTATATACATAAATAATGTGTGAAAACCAAAATAATTATATAACGTACACACACATACATACTCAGACAGACACACACACACATAAACACATAATACACACAAAAACAGACACACACATATAACCCACCTTACACCATCTAATTGGTCATTGGAAAGATATGGAACACTAGATCTAGCAGACTGAACAACTTTTTGACATCTGACCATCAACGATGTCAATCTTTCTAAAACATATTTGTCATCAAAGTATTTTTTCTGGACATTTTCTTTCACTTCAGTTGAAACTAATTCTAATAAGAAGTTCACTATTTTTGTCACTGTTTTCAAACTGAAGGGCCTGCCTTTGTTGCTAAAAAAATTAATTAATTATATATTTTTATACTATCATACTAAAAAATCAACCCCCCACCCCTAATTAACCCGGTCTGACGTAGACTTTGATACAGAAATAACACGATATTATCAACATTGTGATTATCCTTCAACAAAATGTTCCTCAGACTTAACATATCAAAACTGTCATCATCAATTTGTTCAAATTCATTACGATCGTCGGCCATTATTTACCGGAACACTAATCTATTTGATTAATTAAGTAACTATTGGATCTGAAACATGTGCGGCTCTCTTTCTATGTTGTCACACGTTACGATAGAACGATTCATTTTTTGAAAAATGCATTTACACACAATTATTATGGAAAGTCAATACAGTTTTTTACCTCAGCGCAGTCCAAGTACCATGGTACCATCCTCCGAAAACTGTAAAAAACTAAATACATATACCTGTATCAAAAGTGATTTCTAATGAAACATATACTTGATATGCTAATGACCCTTCAATAGCACTTATGCTAAGTATTCCTTAGCAGAAAATATGCTAACGACTCTCTCTTTCTATATATATTTATATATAGAAATAAAAATTTGAATGTATATATATATATATATATATATATATATTATTTTATATATATTTATATGGAAAAATTAGAATTCGAAGTGAAATTTCATTACTGATTCTGACGTAAAGAGAAAAATAAAATAAATAAAGATAAATAAACAAACAACATCAAATTAACAAATTCCTCACAGATGACCATATAGTACAATAATTAACAAAAGACATTAACACTATTAACCGTTTATAAAATGTTCTCCTAAATGTATGAGCTAGGGCCTAACGCAGAATCACTGTTTAAAAAAAAGTTAAAAAACTCAAAATCTACAAACGACAATAACAAAACAGGAGTTGATATTTATAAAAAATCAGCAGTAGATGACAAAATTGTGCTAAAAAAATTGTTTCGGGGTCGAAATTTTAGCAGAAAAAGATTTGCTACCGGGCGCAAATCTAATAGGAAACTGTTTAATGATGAACAATTATTTTCAGCAAATTTTGTTGGCAATTCATGCTCAGCCACTGATAAACTAAAATTTTCAATCAGTTCGAAAGACGTTACGAATGTTTTCGACTATACGGAGAACAATTTCGTTATAAATTCTTCCGCATATCAACAGTTGGATCACAAAGATTCTTCTAGTAATTTTCAAACAGAAGCAGCAAACTTCTCAAAAGTCGAATTGAACATAGATCGGTTAGCTGATAACATTCTTCACAATCTTTTCAATTCATCTTCCTCCAACGATAACACCCTCGCCACATCTATCGCCAACATCTTCAACAGCTCTTATAAATTGTCCATCTCAGAAATTCAAAATCTGCTTCTATTAACTATAAAAAAATTTACCGATTCCAAAGAGTTTGGTCCAGATTCATCTGCAAAACATTTGGAAGACTTGAAAAAGTTGTATGAACTTCATGGAAAAAAAGATTTCAATCCAGATTCAGATATTTTAAAATTAATTAATGATATCTACTATTCCAAACTCAACTTTGATCGCGCAACAAATGTTCAGTACAATTCCTCAGGATATTCGAATGCAGATTTTAATTTTGAACAAGGAGTAACAAAACGACCCAGATTTTACAAACCGAGATCCTTCCCCAAATTCATAAAAGCGAAGAAACAAGTTTTGCAGAAGCGCAGTCACAAACGTTTCATCGGCTTGCAAATCAGCAAACTTCAATCGCAGTCGACCATCCAGAGATCGAGTAAAATTAGACGGAGAACCATGACGACGAGTGTTTGTACCGGAAGTAAGTTGAGTTCGTTTAAGAAGAAATCAAATACTGAAAAGTTGAGGCCGCTATCCGATCTCAAATTCAGCATCTTCAAGGCAATCTCAGTTGAAAAAAATCTTTGTAAAGTACGATTCATATTACAAATGTTATTTTATATGATTGAATTTAATAAGGACTAATAATTTATTTTTAAATGTAAAACATCAGCTAGATACTGTCAAAAAGAAACCATAAAAATATTATTGAAACGATAACATACACGCATAAAAGATAGTGGCCGCAGTAAGATTAAAAAAAAAGAACAAACAAGTAACAAAACACTTAAAGTAAGTGAAAACGAAATGTTGTAGGTGAATGAAGAACTGGAAAGAACATGCAAAAAGACGGCGGAACTGTTGAGAATGAACCGCCTGAAGTACGTGAGCGAGGAACAAAGGAAGTCAAAGACGGGAAGGAGGTCTCTTACAAGGAAAAAGTTTTCACATTGTAATGCTCATTCTATTACATTTCCGTACAATTATGTTTCATCATTAGTATAAAAATAGTTAAAGTTGCAAAAAGATGTCATATTTTTCTCTTATCTACAAATAATCCAGCCTACAAAAAATATAACTGACATTGACTAAACTTGTCATAAAAAGTAATATCAAATTGTATTTTAAACAGCCACGAAGAGACCAGAAAATTTTGAAGTGAAATTAGGCCCTCCATCTCTGAAGGGCCTAAGGAAAAGTTCCGGCAACAACAATAGCGGGTGGTATAAAAATGATACAAAAACATTTCTAAGCGGGTTGGTGGTTGTATTATGATGAACGTGCGACAGAATTAGACTGCTAACAGAGCTCTATATAAACAGCTTAATTTTGCTATTATTATTACTTTAGAAATTGTAGTAGTAAAAGGAGTACTAGCAATAGTCATAATAATAATAATAATAATAATAGTAGTAGAAAAAGTAGTAGCAGCAGCAGCAGTAACTTGTAGTAGTAAAATTTGCATTCATCTGTTGCTTTGATCTAAGATGGAACATTTTTACTACAATTTAAATAATTTCCTATCTGAATTTTCAACTCACAATCTTATTCTTTTTTTTCACGCAGTCGTAAACATTTCGCGAGTTTCTCCCGCGACACAGCAGGGGGTTCGCATCGAAGTTGGACTCAAAACGAGGAAACAAAATCTGTGAAGAAGGAGGTCGTAAGTGCAGGTAAGAAGAACACGTCAACAAAAACCAGCAAAGGAGCAACGATTGAAAAACCAAAAAAGAATCTCAGTAGCGCTAACTCTTTGAAGGACCATAAAAAAATTTCTACCTCTTCGACATCACAACCTCGAGGCACTTGCCACAACGACAACTGGTTCGTTATTTACGATAAGTGCAAGTCTCCGCTCACCAAAGCTAAACATTCTTCAAACATTGATCAACCCAAACCTTAACTATCAATTTAATTAATTAGTCAATCACCAGTTAGTTATTCTTACTAAAAATTAAATAAAAAGCGAACACTGACCATCAACAGTTGAGTTTACGAGCAAGAATATATCAAACGACATTTCGCCAAATAAACCGTTGAATGAATTGAATGATGAAACAACATTCTTCATCCACTCAGTCATCATTGCACAGTTACAAAATAATTTTAAATCTGATATCGTAATATTATAAAGTCACACACACACACACACACACACACACACACACACACACACACACACACACACACACACACACACACACACACACATACATCTTTAAATTTAATGAATAGGAAGGAACTTGGGTAGTTTTAAAACACATACACGCACGCACAAACAAACAAAACCCAAATATGAGTTAATTGAAAGCAGAATGCTTCTTGCGGATTTGTCTGAACTGAGTCGACTGGTAAGGACTCCTAACGCCCGTGACATCGACGTGGTTGGATTTGATGGGGCCTGCCGACTTGGCCCGTGATTGGTTGAGCATCAGGTGGTGACTGGGCGGCGGGGTGTTGTTTAAGATCTGATCAGCAATCAGGGTTGTAATACGGATCTGAAGAATTGAGTTGTCGTTCATCGATTTTAAGTCTTTGATTTTTGATTAATTTGTTTTAATCATATTGTTTGAGGCAAACAAAATCAACTTGAGCGGACAAAATAATGTACCTTTTTATTATTTTCCTTCGAATCTTCTGAAATATTCGAGTGTTGTTGCGTTGGTTGATCTGATGCTCTCTCAGAATTAGGCACTCTTTCAAAGTTTATCGAATCAACGTCGAGAAAACTGTTTGTGATTCGCTTGACCTTCTCAAAACTCACGCTTTTATTGGTTGATTTAACGAAAGCAGATTTGCAACGCAGTCCATTTAGATTGCGTCTCTTGAGTAGCTCGATTTCTGATTGGTCAATACGATCTCGATAAAGGATTCCTGATGATTGCCCTCTCGAGGTTTTTGGCCTTACAGGAACTTTAGAAAAAATGTTTAATGGTAAAATTAACAGAAACTTATCTTCCATTAAAAAAAATATAAAATTTATTTGTTACCTTTCAGTTTGTTTTCTCCATTGGCCTAAAATAAAATAAAATTTAAATATGAAATTAAACAATAAAATCTTCGCAATACATTGGTACAGTACATCCAAAAAATGGACACCTGCACTTTGCTGATGAGTTCGCTGACATTTTTGAATGCCTCCATCTTCAAATTTCTTTCCAGCTTAAGTTTTCTTTTCACTTCTTCCACATCCTTCTTCCACCTCTCCTCCATCAAAATCCTCAAGTCACGTGACCTCTCGAGGTCGTCGGTCAAGCTCACCAGCTGTTCTTCTTTGCATTCCACCTTAGCATGCTATTGCACAACGGCAAGCATTGCAACGTACGATTAGAAATTACATTAGGTGATTAAAAATTACTGGATTTGAATGAAAATTATTTTTAAAAAATAAATAAATTTTTGAATAATAATTAATTAATATTCCAAGCGTTAACAAACCACAGACCAGTTCCTTGATCTTGCTCTCCCTCGCTTCCTCCATCTGTCTCGCAGACATGATTTGCTGCTGCATGGCGCTTGTCCGTTTCTCTTTGTCTTTCATCTAACATTATGACGTAACAATTCGTCACAATCGACAAAAATAAATAACTTGAAAAGTGAAACTTTAGGTTGAAATAGCCTTATAACAATCTTTCTATAATAGAACAAAATAGCCATTGACAACAAAATGTCAATATTGATCGCTGGTGATTATACCACGAAGCAAACATTCCATGTAGTATAGTTTAATTCCTGTAACATCTGAAAATATATATCTTCACGTAATATAGTTCAATTCCTATAACGTCCGATGCGTTTGACTGAGCAGGAGGGGGTCGTTAAAGGTTTAATTATGTTACAACATAACTGATGCAAGCGTTTTTATTATTAAGCCGGCAAATTTAAAACTTCGTTCGTGTACCATCTGAATATTTTCTAATTAAAAAGCGGTGAATAAAATTAGTGAATGTGGAAAATTACTTTGAGACTAGCAAAAAAAACCATCCGTGAATTAACTAATGATAAAAAACATACACGTCCAACCTCTAATTCATAAACCTACCTTCATCTATTAGGTAGTATCAAAATTGAATAATCAGATAAGTTACATATGAAATAATGGTTAGAGAACGGACAAATTCACAAATTCAAATAAAATTTTTTTAATCTTAGAAATTCACGCTATAACGTAAAATCTTTTTTTATCAATTATCGTGTATGTAAACGATCTTAATTGATCAGCGTTTGTAAGTTATAATTGTCTGTAATTGTTTGTAAATTTTCAAAATCATGTCACCTCATTCTCTAGAGATCTTTTAAGTTTTTCATTTTCTGCTCTGGCAAGCTTCAAGGACTCTCTTAAGGCAAGTATCTCTTTTTGCTGGTAGATGGATTGGTTTTCACAAAATATTTTTTGCTCTTCCAACTGCCGCCTTTCAAATTTCAGCGAATTTTCCAATTTTTCAATCTTGATGTGATCGTTTGTGTAATATTGTTTGAAGATATATATGTAGACTAAACTGTTAAACCATTGATAAAAATGAATAAATTTAATGATTTTATTCGAAAAAGGATTAAAATATATTTATATAAACCGTTAAAATTGAGTGAGTTAAACGATTTTATATGAAAAAAAATTTTAAACCAAATTTTTATGTTTCAAATGAGAACTGTACTGTTTCCAACTATAGAAGACACCGTCTAGCAGGCATTTGTTATTCAGGTCTCCCTTCTCCTTTTGCAAAGCAGCTAACTGCTCAATCAGCTTTATAGTTTTGCGGTTCCCGTCAACATCTTTTAAGAATTAAATTTGAAATAATTCGATTTTAAATAGATAAATTTGTTTATTATTTCTTTAAATTTATTAAATCATAAGTAAATTTGCTTTCTTTTTACAATTTGTTTCTGATTTTTATGAATTTATTTAAAGAAAAATAGAGGATTTTCTCAGCAAATTAACCTGGTTGACAGCCCAGCTTCAAAGTTAATCTAGCCATACCGTCAATAGCGTCTGATCTCGACTGATTTAACTGATTGAAAATGTCATTGTTATATTCTAGCCTGTCAGATTGTAAAGTTTAAAATACTTTTCAATTTATTCATTAAATTGTTTTTTGTCTATTTACCAAAGATTAAATTGAATTTTTTGAAAATTAAAATGTAACATCGGAAAATAGATATTTAGTTTATTAATTCGTAAAATACCTCATTTTATGATATTTCAATTCTGAATTCAAAATGGACGACGATGTGGTCTTTAACTTTTCGGCAAACTCCATTCCAATTTTCTTTCTCGTTCTCTCTTCCACCATTTTCAGTTTATTTTTCAAAAAACTAACCTGATTTTTCAAACCAATCAGCTCCGTTATACAGGTCATGTGATTATCCGCCGTCCGCCATTGGATGATCGAGTTTGTGCCCTCGACTTGATTGGATAATTCTTGTTTAACTAAATTTAACTCCTTGAATAATAATAAAAAATTGTATTTTTTTAAATACGAATCTCTTTTTTCAAAAAATATAAATTCAAATTAAATAAAAACCTTCGTAAGTGAGGATATAGTAGATTCGTAACTCTTTCGCGCTAGTTTTTCTAGATCTAAACCACTTCATTTGTCGAAATCAAAAAAACATTTAATATTATTTCAATTACTAAGACTCTCAATTAATCCATTTAATTCGTTATATAGCTAGCTAAGTTACCTGCTCTCCAAACGGTTCACAAGCATCAACAGCTCTTTAGAATGTTCGAGAAAGTTCTGCCTCCTAACAACCAACTCATCATCCCTTTTTGTATTTTTATCTTCGTTCTCTCCATCAACCACAACCCTGTCTAAATAATTTTTGAAAAAAAAACTTTTTTCTCTCTATTTGTAATGAGTTAGCTAGAACTGTTGTTAACATTTGTCAGATTAAATGATATTCTATGCAGTAAAAGTCATACGAACAAATTCTTTCTTTTTAATATTACAATTTTTTTTACCTGCAGCATTAGACATATTCAAACATTTCTCAACAAAATCCTTGATTAGTTTCGAGATGTGGTTGTTGGTTGAGTTTGTTTCAGTTTCGATTTCACGATTGTGATCAACATTACCGCGTGACGTCACCCTATCATCGTCATGTGGTCTCCTCCTCAATAGTGACGTCATTTGATCCTGCAAATGCCGTCTGCTGCGGTCTATGATGTCACATTCTAAATGATCGACCGTCTGACTGATCTGGCGGGGAAAATAATTTTAAAAAGTTTGTCATAAAAAAGAGATAATTGTCTTGAAATATTTATGAAATGTTTGCAATAGATAGTTTTATTAATTTAACAACCATCTTTCAAAATCTATCATCTTTTAAAAATTTATCAAATAACAACACAGCTTATAGACATTTTACTAAAGATTTCATCTATTTAAATGATAAATTAACGAAAAATTAATAAATAAAAAAAACAAATAAATAAATAAGTTGACTAAATAAACAAGAACAAACTAGTTTCTTCTTAAACTGTATCAACGAGATATGATCCTTCATCGCCATCCACGTTAACTCGTCATCATCATCACCACCGTCATCATCATTTCCGGCAAAATTTATTTTTGGAAGATAATTCTTAGTTTTATTTCTTTCCTCATCTAAGATTTCATCCAAGACCACGTCCCTAATTTTCTCTCTAAACGCTTTTCTGTTTGGGATTGTTTAAATTTGGAAGCATCGTTTATTAGTCAGCACGTTAGTGGAATGGTTAAGATGAGTGACACTGCTGTTGCAGTTACGGGGTTTGATTGCAAAGAGATCCTCGCCTAACACAGGCATCGATTCAAGCGTACCTACTCACCGGCAATGTGTGTGTGTGTGTGTGTGTGTGTGTATGTATTGCTGATACCTACCTCTGAAAAATACGTGTTGGAGAAATGGAAAAAAATACTC